AGGTTTACTGGTGGTTCCCAGAATATCTAAAATTAGGATGGGAGGCAGATCTTTTAGTTATCAGGCTCCTCTCCTGTGGAACCAGCTCCCAGCTTTAGTCCGTGAGGCAGACACTTTTTCTACTTTTAAGACTAGGCTTAAAACATTTTTATTTGATAGGGCCTATGGTTCAAAGCTGATGTTAGCTTAGATCTGGACAAGTGGGGGAGTAGAGGGAGGTGGAGTGTACAGTCGGTAAAGACGGCTCTCCCTTGCCCTGCCTCCAACATGCCTACATCTAAATAGGATAGATTATCCAGAGTTATCTCTGTAGTTATGCTGCTATAGGCTTAGACTGCTGGAGGATACAATTACCACTTTTCACACTCTACTACCTTCTTCTACTATCTGTTCTTTAACTGTATTACTTTCTGCAATTTCAGCTGTTAACTTTATTTTCTCTCTAAGTGTTTTTCTCCCCAGAAGAAGCTACAATGACGTTCTGCTGAGCTGTGGTGGCCTCATGGAGGGGGCCATCGACTAGCACACTGCTGCTAACCACTTAAACATTCTCTCTCTCTCCTGATAATAACTTTTTGCTTTCCTTGACATTGGATATGTTTACCCGTTCAATTATAGATCCACTAGGATAAATACAATAAAGTTTATCTCTCACTAAATAGAATTTTTACTAAGAAATCACAATGTAACCATAGAAACATTACGGTGTGTGTGCGTGCGCGTCTGCTCTGTCTTCTCGATCCCCAGTGAGTCGTGGAGGATGGCTGTTTATACTGAGCCAGGATTCTCTGGAGGTTTCTTCCTGTTAAAAGGGAGTTTTCCTCTCCACTGTCGCTGCATGCTTGCTTAGTATGAGAATTGCTGTAAAGTCACTGACACTAGTCAGTGACTCGATGCAATTTGCTGGGTTCCTTATATAGGAAACATTATTTCTGATTGGCTTAATGAACTGACCTGTATTGGAATGTTTATTATGTGAAGTGTCTTGAGACGACTCTTGTCGTGATTTGGCGCTATATAAATAAACTTGAATTGAATTAACAGAATTTCTGGTTTAAATGAAAGGCAAATGGCTGAACACAAGGTGGCGCCCTTTGGCTACTACTGCAGCAGCATCCACTGCAGAAATCAAAGAACTTCCTTCAAAATAAAAGTTTCAAACATGCCTGAAAACATCTGAAGAATGTAAAAACATAACTGTCCTTAAGAAAAACTATTGATGCTAACCTGAGACTCTTAATGTGAAGGATAATCAATAAAATGCATATTTATTATCTCAGTAAAAACACATCCAGAACTCTGGTTCTGGAGGGCAAAAGGGTTCCTTTCCTTAAATGTTGAAGACTTTTCTTCCTTCTCAGTGACTTTAATACTCAGTCATGTCCGATCCTGGCTGTATTAAAATAAAAAACCTGGTTGCGATAACATGATTAGTTTTGTTGTTGAAGAACAGCTGTGTGCACAGAGGAAGAGATGATGGTCAAGTGCTTTATTTTATTTAATACCAGGAACACTATGGCAACAACAAGAGGGACAAAATAAGTAAACGTTTTTCCTGTCGCGTCTGCAGCCAAAGACATTTTACAGAAGTTCACAACGGAGTCGTTTTGAGCAGCAGATGGGACAGTTTATGGAGACGTTTTACAGAATTACAAACAGAAAATGGTTGAAAGACATGGACTTGGAATCGTAGGGATTATTATTGCTTTTAAACACACAAACATTTAATATTTTCAGGTTTGAAAACAGAAAATAGCTCAACACTAAAATCTTTGGCTCTTAAATTACATAAATATCCAATCAGCACGTCAGAGACCCTTACAATCCCAAGTTCACCACTCTGTAGTGATCTTTAAAAAAATCAGTTTTTATTTGACCAAAGGAATAAAATTCATGTTCAGGACACAAATCAACATAAACAAAAGGACATGTGAAAGAAAATCAAAAACATAAAGATGAGAATTTAAGACATTTACCAGTCTACAATCATCTGCATGCATGGTGGAAGACCAGCAGTCTGAGAGCAACGGATCCATTCATGACATAAAAACTGATGGAAGATTCAAAAGCTTCGGCGTCATTATCAGGATTGTTTTAGTCAATTTTTCAGATAAGAGGGAACCAATCTCAGGGTCAGAGGATCTTTTGGGATGATTAATACTGATTGGATGGAGTTAAGTCCAGATTGATCTGAACACAGTGGATCACTCATCAACATAAGACCATCTGAATAATTAGGAATTAGTTAAAATTATCGATCAGGCAGATCTGACTATGTCCCTTCTAGGCTAGCTAACCAGTGGAGTTCCTCAGGGATCCGCAATCGGACCACTTTTATTTATTGAATGATTTCTCTCCACAAATAACTCACGCTTGGAGGAGTTCTGCTGTGTGGTGGAGTTGCTAATGTCAATGGTTAGCTTCTACTAGTTGAGATGTTCTCTGCCATTTCCTGGATGCTAACCCAACAATGGCCTTTCCCACCGTGAGTCAAGATGGACGAGTTAAAAAACTTTTTTTTTTTCAGTGTTCCACACCTTTACGGTTTTTAACGATAGCCGAGGCTTTTGAATATTTTGGACTTGAACAACAATGAGCAGAAACTTAATGACAAGCGAAAACAAAAACATTCAGAGTAAAATGTAACTTCAAACACTAGACTTGTATTAATTTGACAGAGACACCAGAGCCCAGATTCAGCTCCAACATTTCAACAATAAGTGACACCAGAAAAATCTCCCTCCCAGTCACAGTAGAGCAATCAATAAGGCTGCCGGGGCGTTCATGTGCAACAACTTTCATGTATCAGAGAACTAATGAGTCTGGAACGTCTGAAGTGTACATTCAAAATGCAAGCACCCAAGTAAAGCTATTTACACCTGCAGCTATGTACATTCAGAAGTACTGAGCACCCAGAACAGCTCCGGTAATGCTGAGGTCTGTTAGAGCTCTTTTCAGCATTTACACAAACACCTCTGGACCTACAGGCATCAAAATCTATAAAAAATATCCTGAAACTTTCCTTTCAGTGGCGAGACGCATCGACACACACACACACACACACACACACACACACACACACACACACACACACACACACACACACACACACACACACACACACACACACACACACACACACACACACACACACACACACACACACACACACACACACACACACACACACACACCTCTGAACAGGTGCACGCAATCTACAAGCAAATGAAGTGAAAACTGAAACACTTTGAATTACTTGGGGGGAGTTTTTGTTTTAGTTTGTTGTGCAGCTTCACTGCTCATCTAATTTAGTGCAAATAATAAAATCTCATTGGCTGTGGGGGTTACTGTGCAAACATCCCAATCATCTCTCACTGCTTTAGTCTTCCTTCGTTTTCTCACCGAGCTGCAGCTGCTGCAGGCATAAATGTGAGATGGGATGCAACTATTTTGTTCCAATCACGTCGAACTGGAACACCACATTTGAATTTGTCAGCTGTAGAAAAACTGTGGAAATTAGTTGGAAAGTCTCACAATGATGTAATCCCCCCCACAATGAATCCTTTTTATGTTAGATTGTCTTCATTCAGTCACAACAGCCTCTTCTCACACTTTCCAATAACTGTAACTAGTTAGGAAGAAAACTTTTGAAATAATTCCTTTTTTAACGTCAGACCTATGAACCCGGCTGGAGCAGAACTTAAAGGGTCGCCTACACGGACAGCTCTAGAGTCCTGCGAGAATCTTCAGACTCATGCGCACACAGCCTGGTTCTTTGGTTTCATTGGTCCTGAGCAGATAAACAAGCACTTCTTTGTTTTACATCAACAACTAAATCTTTGTCTCAGACCAGTCATCCACAAAATACCACAAGCAGTAGAACAAGGCTCCTTATTAACTTTTCCTTACCTCTCACTAAAATACTTTAGAAGACTCAGAAAGCCTGAAGCACCTTTCTGGAATAAATTACTCCCATTTTACCCGTTAGCTTCCCGGACAGCCTCTGATCAGAGAAGGAGTTTATATCAGTTTCTTCTCCGGTCCTGGTCATCCTTTCACCCGACAGTCACGAGTTTCTCATAAACACGAAAACGAACAACTACAGCAGCAGAGGGACCTAAAGGAGTTTCAGCAAAAAGCTGATAAAACACTATTTTTATAAAGCAACACACTTGGCTGCACTCCAACTAGCTGTTAGCTTATCAGTCCTGAAGGGCTTGGGAGGATGTTCAGGAAGACATCTGTAATTCAGTGCTAGTTGAGAATATCCTATTGGAGACAGAATAATGGCTCTCTGGCACGTGGACCATCTCCTAATCCCCGCTGAAAGTATCATCTCGCTTTAACCCTTTCTATCGATGACCTGAACAAAAATCCCTTTTCACTGTTAAATTTGTATTTGTGCTGAATTTAAAGCCTAAATGCTAGCTGTTTTTTAGAGCTACACAAAAATATTTCTGTTTTTAAATGTTTATATTTTACCTTCACTGCAGAAAAAGGATCGAGAAGATAAAAGCAAACTTTTACAGCAGAGCTCAAACACACCGAGGCTACAAAAGGAGGCGTATTTGCAAAAAAGTAAAAACAGCAAAACCAAAAAGTAACCGCTTTATAAGCAATAAATAATCCTCGTTGGGTCTGTTTGTATAAATAATGGGTGGCGGAGGAAGGTGGTGTTGTTGCGCAGCATCTTTTCCTAAGCGTCATTCGCCGACTTTGTCCATCCTATAGACTACAGTGGTGGAGCTGTCCTGGTCTGACTCAGTGGGAGGCACTTTTTTCCACAGAGGAGCTTTCAGAGCGAGCTCCTGTTGGAGGCTCTCGTAATCCATGGGTCCAAAGTGGAGCTGCTGTTTTAATCGACACGAACGATAAATTAGTTTCCGTGGTTTGTTAAAGCATCTTTCAGAAAACAAACAGATGTTAGATCATTAAGAAGCTGAAACACCAACATGTTTTCAGCTGTATGAACCCAGAGGAGAAAAGGCGTGTGTCCTTACCCTCTGGTCACCTCCCTCTCTGCGGGGATCGTGCTTCTTGGCAAAGTGCCGCAGGTTATCGTAGTTGTGAAAGTTAAACAGCTCCACCAGGCCCTGAAGCACACAAGGATGAATTATTAGCTACGATAATAATTTTCACTGATAAAAGCTGGAGCTTCTCTCTGCTGCTGCTGTTTACTGAAACCTTTAGATGAACCAGCTGGTTGTAATCATTAACCAAACATCACTACTGATTAAACAAGTCCAGTAACTGCAGTTTTGATAATATTCCCTTCACTAACGAGCTTTTCCTTTTAGTTTGTGACTTAGGTGATAGGTTTCCCTGAAGCTGCGTTCGTGGTACAAAAGTACAAACTCTCCTAGTCCTGAAGGTTTTAGAACTCAGGTCAGAGGATCGGTAGACCTCGATCTCCCCAGGCCAAAGGTTACAGGTCAACCAGCTGATCCTAGCACGGCGGTAGAGGGCTGATGGCCTGGGCTCCTCGCTGAGGTCCTTTTACTAACTCACTGTTCTACAGGGATGAAGGTTTCATTACTTCATGTTGTTGTATTCTGTAAAATAAAACAACCGTACCGTGCAGAACTGGATTCCTCGGACCGAGTTGCCCAGCTTGTCGAGTGGAGGCGACCAGCACATGATGCCCATCACGTTGGGGACGACCAGCAGGATCCCCCCCGCTACGCCAGACTTGGCTGGTAGTCCGACCTGAGATGACAAACGCAGATTGAAGGCTTTTCTCTTCAGATGTAGTTGATGTATATGTAAAACATCTATGAGTATATGTATTGTATACATATTTTAATGTTCCTGTTGGTGGTTCTGACCCTTTACCCGACAGGTCAATGACTTGGTATGGAGCACAGCTTAGTCCCGATTCCCTTTGAATCGTGAACAGGGAAAAAAAATCTACGAAAGTAAAAATATTCTAAGAATAAAGGAGATGTACATTATCTTTACCCCGAATAATATTATTACCCTTATTGTCCCCAACTTAATAGATAAAACCAAAGGACATTTTGTCCACCTCGGTGGAAATCAAGAGCTCTAGGGGTATAAACGTGTCTGAATCTGAAGGATTCATACTGGTGTGTACTTCACTCACATGGAAAGCAAACTGTCCGGAGAAGTCGTACATGCCGCAGGAGTGCATCAGACTCAGCGTGTTCCTAACCGCCTCCGGGCTTAGGACGCGCTCGCCCGTGATCGGACAGATGCCGCCATTTGCCAGGGTTGCTGCCATGACGCTGGCGCTCTCACAGGTCACCTCGATGGAGCACAGCTGGAAGTAGATTAAAAAATATCTTGTAACGTTTAAAGGACTGAAACAACAGGGAGCATCAACTCAGATTTAATATGAGCTGTAGAACAGGAAGTCATTTTATCTCAATAATTACGAATAAACAGAAAATAAATCAATGTCCACCTGAAAGTAGAGGTCCAGCACAGACGTCATGTCTGTTCCTTCTGGGAAGCACTGCAGACAAACCCATCAGAAATCACTCGGTTACACACAACATTCACTTTCTGTAAGCTTTAATCATTTTAAGTCCTTTGGTTTGACTTTTCAAACGTTTCAAATCCAAGGAAATGTGTGAAACCAAACTTTAAGACCTGAAGTTTAAAAAAAGCAGGTACATTACTCATGTCCAACAATATTATGTGTAAATATAACCAAACAGCAATTCTAATGAAGCTGCACTTCCCCTGTGGCTTGTTCCTGGTGCCCAGACACATTCTGATGGCTTTACAGCCGGACAGGACACACACACACACACACACACACACAAGAAAAGAGATGACTAATGCAGAGAGCATTAACAGACCTTTTTTTCTTTAAGGTAGTAGCCAATGGCAAAATTCCTGTCGCCCGACTCACGCTCCGACTGGAACCTGTCACAAAGAGCAGAATGTTCCCATTACACAGAGGAAGGAAGCATTTGCTCCTCGTGTTCATGTGTGCTTTCTGCACGTGTGTGTTGGAATTCTGTAAGCCCGCCCTGCAAGTCCAGAACACAAGCAGAACTTTCACGACTTTATGTGATGATACTGCAACTCCAGCCCCTAATCTTCTCCTGGAAAACTTCTCGGCAGCCATCAGCGCTTCCATAAATCACATATGGAACGTTGACGTCACAGGCTGCAGAATCACAACTCTTCAAAGGGTCCACTGCAGTCCAGTTAACAGAAACAGAGCTGCAAATCGTCATGGTTAAAGGAGTGGAACACCAAAAATAGTTTTTTAATGATCATCTCTGATTCTGAAGGGGCACTAACAATCAAAGTAATCCTCAGGGAAAGTGTGTTTAAGGATGGGTACTCGGATTCAAAACAGAAAAAAGCTCAGAAAGGTTTTTCAGACGCCAAACCTGTCAGCTGATTCAAAAACATCCTTGGATGTAACTAAAATGTTCCCGTTTCAGGATTCAGAAATATTCACTGAAATTTTCACCTTCACATCTCGACCCATTTTGTGAAAAAAAATTATCTTGTAAAAAAATTCTGACTGAGACTCAAAGACAAAGTAGGATTTCATTCTTTCCTGCAGAGTTTCGTTTGGTCTAAAAGCATCTTGGAGTAACTTTGGTGACCTCTTCCGTTTTTCTTCCGTAGACTCAGTTTGTATGAAAGCGGTGAATCCGAGACTCAACTGTAAATCTGAATTCAAACAAAAATCCAGACAAAACTTTTTAGGAAATATTTAGAACATCTGCTGGCCGAGACAAGGAGTTTAATAATTCAATGTTTTACAGCAAAACAATTAAAACTGCTAACAAAAGAAGACACAGGACAGATTACATAAATGGTTAGCAGACTTACGTGGCGTTGCTGAAGCCCACATACTCGTTTCCAGACATTTTTTTCAGGAAGTTCATGACCTGAAAATCAGAGCAACAACTTTTACAGATATGAGCTGAAACCTGACGAAGCAGCCGAGGCCTGGTTAAGTTTAGCTGTTTACATTCATCCTTGTGCACAGATGTCCTGCATCACACCCCTTAAGGTTCATTTACTCATAAAGTTGATCTCATGTTCTCAGATCTAACCGTCCACACGGGACGGGTTTGTGGGACAGAAAAGACGAGGGAAAACACTCACATAGTCAAATTTCTCAGCGTTGCTGGCATGTTGCTGCAGAAAACCAAACAGGGAACCCGTTAGTTGAGTTTTTGATCAGGAGATTCTGCAAAACGTTAGAATGCTAAAACAGCACAAGCAACTGCTGACAATTAAATATTTTATCACAGATAAAAATGTAGAAATCACTTGTTTTGCCTCAAGTAGATGTAAAATATTAATACAGCTGGATTGCAAATGAACAGGAAGAGATTTAGTGTGCAGAAACAGATGAACTAGTCAAGTAAAAAACACTTTCATGTGAATTTGATACCAATAAAGTAAAACACGCTTGTTTCAGGGTTACATACTTATATTCATAACTGTGTGAAGGTATGAGCTTTGCATTATGAGTTACATTAATGCATATGTTCACGGGCATCGATGTTTTCCAAACATCTGTGCAAAAAGCCCAAAAACAGACGGGGAATATGAGGAGAAAGATGAGAAATGGCCCTCAAGGTTTTGTTTGTTTATAACTCAGATCTGATGCTGCATAATTCCACAAAGATAAACATCCAAAGGAAGAAAAATGCAGACATGCACTTTAAAGTGTTACTGCAGGTGATTCACTTTTGGATGGAACTGCTAATGGATTCATACGAGTCCATTTAAAGTGTTCTCTGAGGTGTAGAGAGGAGGAGGTGATGATGGAGGTGTTACAGTCACTACATGGGGTTTCTACGGAGCTGATTGGAAGAGGAAACAGAGTGAAAGAGAGAGGGGGGGGGTCAGGGGTCAGGAGATAGATATGGAAAAGGAAGAAAAAATTACCAACGTCATTTGACCTGCAGCAGCAGTCACTATTTCCCACAGTTCCTAAGTCTGGAAAATATGCAACATACAAAAAAACAACAACATGTAGCCTTCAAGCAGCATGTAACAACAGTTTGGTGCACACTGCCGGGCAACCATCCCATAATATCCCATTAGAGGTTAACTGTGTTATCTGAGCAGGCTTTAAATCGTGCTCCCGTTTAATCATTCATAAGGAAAAGAAACGCATTAAAAGGAGAGCTGCTGCAGACAAAACCCCAGAGAAGGGGAAAGAGGGGATAAGTCTCGTCTAAGAATGAGAGCCTCTCTCGCTGTAACGCGATGGGAATCATGTTTTACAGAGAAACTTTCTTGTAATAACGACATAAAAACCGTTTTAATGAGAAAGGTCGTAACGGTGGTTATACGTTGTGGTGTTCTCCGAATAAACAAGCTAGCCGTTTCAATTCTTGATGCACAACTTTTAGGAACAACGACGGGGGTTGGGGACCACCAAACAACGGTGCATAAATCAAAAATGTACACGAGCTCAACCACGCACATCCTGTTGCCAAGGCAACAGACAGACAGCTTTCCACACTAAGAGGTTGCATTAAAGAGCGACAGCCACAGATGTCCAACGTAACGGACAAACCTTTTATGCTGATCGTTTTATTAAAGTAAAAAGGTTTTTAAGTTTAAATGAATCTTTTCCTCAAGCACGTGAAGCTGTTGAAACGAGCGGCCATGTTGTTTTGCACGTCCCGCCTACTCACACAGTCGTGATGTTCTATTAGAAAATCGATGATCTGAACATTCAACATAAGATGCTTACATGGAGCTGAAAGTGTTTACTGGAATCAGCAACATGGGGGAGCCGTCACATTTCTGTTGATTTATAAATGTGTTTAACTTCTCTTAGTCGTCATTTTATGCTTTAACTCAAACGTGCAAATAAATTTCCTTAAGTGAAGTGTTTTAGCCACATTGTGACTGAATTTAGATATCGGACAAGACCGAGTGGGCCGGACTGAGATGTCTAGAGACCTGGTCTTCTGGTGTGTCTGATAAAGCAGCTCGCTGGTTCTCAGAGTAAAAATCAGTCTTAAAACTAAATATTCACAGGAAGAAACATCCACTAAATATTCATAAATGCATTAAAAAAGAAAGGGAATGATCTTTTTACCTGTATCAGTGAAGTACAAACTATAGCTCCAGCGTTCACCATGGGGTTGTGGGGTTTATCTGCAAACACAACAAGAGCTCAGTTGTGGGTTGGATCAACTTCTGACTGAAAACTTAGAAAAGCAAGTTGTTAATCAGGGGCTGGGACTTAAAGAGCAAGTAACGACTACATGTACCTTTTTTTGCTGATAACCTGTATAGATGAGTGTAATGGTGCTGTGCACATGTGTAATCATTAGTGTGGCAGTTTAGTGTAACTTACTGTAAATGTAATATTTCAGCCCAAAACCGTAATCATGTCTCCATCTTCAGGTTAAAACTCTGCTCCACATTTATTCAGAACCAGCTGTGGCTGATGGCTAAGCTGAAAAACGTGACGTTATCAGCAGACGACTACGTGGCGGCACCGCGCTGGTCTCCAGGTGAGGCAGCCGCACCTCCACCTGGCTCAGCCACTCACCTGCCGATATGACACATTGGCGCTCTGAGCCGCTTACCTCCTTGAAAAAAGGCCCTCCTAACCCTTTCATCTAATGATCGTGGTTAACAGGTGTTGAGGGTATGCCCTCGTGAGAAATTGCTGCGGTAATTTTCTCCAAAAGACTGTGCTAAATTGCTCTGAAAAAGCAAATAATCACATCAGCGCCAAGACACTTCATTTCCCATGATGCTTTGCATAGGGAAGCAAGGTGATGACGTCACCACAACAACCAGCTCAAAAACTATAAGTTTCAGCAAAAAACGAAACTTAACTGTTCTTTGTCCAGTATCACTGGCTGTAAAGGACACGCTGTTGCTGCTGCTCTAATCAATGTGAGCGGATCAGACACCAAACTGCTGAAAAAGCTGGGTTTGGAAACCCAAAATCTGCTCTCTTCCAGCTGATCCCGTGGAGAAACACTTGTGGAGAGAAACAACGGAGGACTATCAGATCTGCAGCGTGAGGAACGAGGGGACGCCTTGGTTCACTAACGCATGAGTTTGATTTTATTTTATTCATCTTCCCATCTCTCTTCTCCTCTCGTCTCTTATAGTTCACAATAAGCAATTAAACCGCGCTATTGCTTCAATTTATCAGACGGTTTTTCTCTTCCGTATCAAAATCCGTTCACAGGGTTATTTGATAAAGGGTAAACTGTTTTATTTGTCATCGTTAATATCTTTAAATAGTTTCCAGCTGTGGCCAGGCTGTTTAAACTGTTAGATGTTAATTTACGAGTGACCTTTGTTGTTTATCAATCTTGCTGAAGTGTTTAAGTTACTGTGAAACTGAGTTTAAGTTAAAAAAACTTTTCCTTGTATTAGAGCTGGAGACAGCCCAGCTCACACACAGCTCAAGGACACTTTTACTCCCTGCGCACCTGGGGAAACAAAGACCCATTCATTTACACACACACACTCACTCACACTCATGCGTGTTTCCAGAGTTTGTGGGACATCGTTCACACACACACACACACACACACACACACACACACACACACACACACACACACACACACACACACACACACACACACACACACACACACACACACACACACACACACACACACACACACACACACACACACACACACACACACACACACACACACACACACACACACACACACACACACACACACACACACACACACACACACACACACACACACACACACACACACACACACACACACACACACACACACACACACACACACACACACACACACACACACACACACACACACACACACACACACACACACACACACACACACACACACACAATTATATAAAATTGTTTTGCATTATTAACCTCCTTGTTTAATTAAATGTTATAAAATTCAGATTTTGCCTCAAGAGACTTTGTTTGTGTTGGTTGAAATTTCTGCTCCTAGGATTCACATCTTTTTGATAGACTGATAAGAGTTTTGGATTCATTTCCCTTTCTAATTAAAGGGATGGTGCCCCGAAGATACGTAATTGTATCTTAATTAATTAATAACTCGGTAAATATTCCCATATTTACAGAATTTATTGAAGAATCCAAAAGTAAGTTAAAACTTACTAATTATTCGCTCCTAATTACCCCAACACAGGAAATCCTCCAGAATGCTGAGGAATCTGTGTCTGCTCTTCGCCTGAGCGGTAAGTCTTGTGTGAGTGCGTGCACGCTCTCGTTAACAACTCGTTTCTAGGTTTAGAAACTCCGACAGCACACACAGGGGGGTTGGGGGGGGGGGGGGGTGCGGTCTACCACTGCCTCAGCGCCACTCTCTCGGCCCGCCAGCGGACGCCTCTTTCAGAAGCACTTATCAGGAAGTGTGGATGAAATATGTCTCCACTCATGCACTGACCCTCACTTTAAACTGCAAAATGAGCCACAAGGTCAGCGTAAAAAGCTCCGATGATGCAGACATAGACACAGCGAGTGTATGATAGGAAAATGAGGTTTACAGCCTGAACAAGTTTGGTTTTCGGTCTTTTATCTGTTTTAGTTAAATAAAGAACTTTTAAACTCCTCTAATTGTAAGTTCTTCCCTGACTTCAGCGCACTGCTTCCTCTCTTTGGAGGTGACAGGAAGTTCCCTTTCTGCAGATTTCTGAACAAGTGGAAGTTTGGCTCTTTAGCACAGCGTGATGCTCCAGCAGCAGCAGTCTGGTGCTTTCCAGGATAAGTGGTGTGAAATAAATCACCCGCGTAGGAACTTCACCTGAAGACTGCATGCACACTCACAAACATTCCTGAACTCATCTACGGCAGCCGATCCATCGGTGCAGATGGCTATCTAGGGTGTGTTTGGCTATCTAGGGTGTGTTGGTGACAGGTCCCACAGGTTTGTGATGGTATGAAGCATCAGAGGAACCTTTATCTGAACTTCTCCACAATTTAAATAAAAACAAAAAACAGTCAAAAAATATATTTTCTTTAATTGTTTCACTTTCTAGACAGAAGGGATTTGTGCAGAAAACTCACCTTCATCATTCAGGAAGAGCTTATTGAAGCGAAGGCCGCTCGGCTCCTTCCCAATGAAGCTGTGCACGTACTCTGTGGCGTGGTCGTGCACGGCCACGGCGTACTTCAGAGGTTTAATGCACGACTGCAGACAGAAGGGCACCTTTGTGTCTCCCACTGTGTGTCTACGGCAGGAAAAGCTCGGTTTAACAGCAAGTTTAAATAAAACAAACCCCAAGGATTAATTATCCAAACAGTAGTAAAGTAGAACAATAAAACAGATTTAAAACATAACCGTTATCTTTACAGTCCTGGATTTTACACAAACCAATCAGAAAACAGGTCCTCAACACACCTACGGAAATGACTCACAACACTCCTGATAATCATCTCTGCTGACTAACTCAGTTTGTTTCTGGGAAAAATAACGTCGGCACTAGAACACCTCAAAGGAATATTACAAAGTCCTGCAGTAAGTAGTCATGTGGTTAAAGCGTCTGAGGGGTGTGAACGCTGCTGCCCTCCACTCAGCCTCAAATAAGTTGTCTCCTCTGAAATGCATTCTTCTAATACTGTTAGCGGGGACTAAAACTGGAAAAGCTCACTTGTATCCCACAAATGTTCGTTTTTTCCTTGATAGTTTAGTTTCTTATGACTTTACTCACCTTTGTCCATCCACCGTGCACAAAGAGACGGCCCACAGATCAGGGCTGAACTTGGCGAGTTGGGGAATGTAATCTGCAACCTGGAAGAGAAGAAAGTCAGGTGTGTGTGAGTGTGTGTGTAAGAAAGAGAGAGAGCATCACCTTACACTCCTGGCATCTAAAGACTCTCAGACTTCAACTGGGAACCAAAACCAAACCAAGTCACAAGTCAGCGTTTGTCTTGAATCAAAAAGGAATAATCCACCTTCAGAACTACCATCCAGATAAAAAACTCTGAAAAACAAATATAACCACAACCATACTAGAATAAACGATGACTGGGATTGTTGACTGGGTCACTCCAAGATGGGACGGGTCTTAATGGCGACTCCGCCGTTGTTGAATGCGTGAAGGATGGAATTTTGATTTTCAGTAGCAAAAACAAACAGCCTATAAATCACTGTTTTACAGTAATAGTGCCGCTCTGAGCCTAAAATCCAGTTAAAAAGTTAGTATCCCTGGAAATTTCTTTTTGAGTTTAGATCTAAAAAAACGGTGCAAACAAGTGAAAATAACCCTGAAGCACGTCCCACTGCCAGAACAAAAACGTGAAAAAGGCCCGACGGCGTCGCTACCATCGCAGACGCTTGAGACTTCAGACTGCCCTCCAGGGTGCGCAGGAACTCCTGCACCGCAGAGCATCCCGACGGGAAACACCACGACCTGGTTTGGACAGACGAGCTCTACAGAGGGTGGTACAATCAGCTGAACGCATCATCCGCACCAAGCTCCCCGACCTGCACTTGATCTACAGCAGGCGGTGCTGGACCAGAGCCAGGAAGATCATGAAGGACCCAGCCATCCCAACAATGGACGCTTCTCTGTGCTGCGGTCTGGGAAGCGATGCCGCTCCCTGAAGGCCAACACAGAGCGCCTGAGGAGGAGCTTCTTCCCGCAGGAGATAAGGTCTCTCAATCACACCACCACACAGGTCTAATAACATCTTTTTAAAGCTCTAACGTTGAAATTGACGGGACAATCACGGACACATTCACTCACACACATTTGCACTATGCATTTATACATTTGGACCATTGCATAAGACACTTTAATAAGCGGCTTTTTGTGTATATTTTCACGACCACTGACCGTTTCAAATCTTATATACTTTTTATTTTTCTTGTTCTATATTTTTATATTTGTAATATTTTTATCATGCCCTTATTGTACAGATGATTTTACAAGTAAAATTTATTTTCTTTAGTATTTCTCTTTTTTTAAGGTCGTATAAGCATTTCACTGCATGACTGTGTGACAAATAAAAGTTGAATTTTGAATTTGAACATTTAAAGTAGCCGGTTACTGGTTTTAGCAGGGAAACGGGCCAGTAAGCACTTTCAAGGTATATCAGAACTTTTAGGGGAATCCGGTGAACCCAGATGTTTACAGCGTGTTCAGACTCAGGTTTGCGCTGTTCGCTGTTAAAGACTGCCTTAGCTCTATACAGAAAACACAATCACACTGAAATACCGTTAAACCTGTAAATTAAAGAGATTACCAGACGGTCACAATCTCCCGACTATGTGACACATTCAAGTCGATTTTTTCCTTTTGGGGGGAAACAGGAACAGGAGCACCAAACTCAGATCACACCGATGATGAATGCATGAAACCAGAATGACACACAAGGAGGAACAGAGAGATGGATCTAAGGCGCACCTGTCCTTCTGTGAGTTTTTTGGCTTTCTCATAGAGCTGGTCAATATGGGAGGTGAAGGACTGGAAGTCGGGGATGACGAACTTCTTGCGGAAGGCCTGAGTGAGCAGGACAATGTTGCTCTGGACACACCTGATGAACAAACCACAAACAGGACGCTGAAATATCGTGACTGCATGCAGCTGAAGGAAAAAAGTTTGCCAACCAAGTTAGCAACGGTCAAGTCTGACAAACTTCTACGGAGATCAAAGAGTTTGATGGAAACGCAGCAATGTGCTTCTGTCATCAGTGAATCTGCTCGCGCCTCCAGTTTAGGAGCTCAAAATGGTTTAAAACAAGAACTGAGCCAAAGAGTCGGCACAGAGAATTACAAACATCACTGGCAATCGTCACTCTGGTGAGATTCATGCCATAACCGTGCTTAACGCCTTGATTCTTCCGGGGAACCTAGAGGACTGTAAAGGTTCAGTTTCTGCTCTTTTCACCAGAAAGTTTCAGCAGAAAGATTTTTCAGAGCACTGCTGAGGATGAAGTGAGACGACAGACAGCGTACTTCTTGAACAGATGCCTGTCGAGCGTAACGCCGTCCGGAGTCTTCTTCAGGGTCTCTTTGAGCGTGTCCATGCACTCCTTCAGGCGAGGGTCTCCGGTGCGAAGCCCCGTAGCTTTCAGTGCCTAAAACAGCAGAACAAAAATATAGGAACAGAGAAAAGATCTTCTTTAACCAAAACAATCCTGGTACTGCTTCATGATTTATGATGTTAGCATAAACATGGAGGACTTACTGTGAGGAACTTGTGAGCAGGAATTTTCTCTTGACCCTCTGCCACCGTGTAGAAGAGCAAATCTTCCAAACTGGGAAGAATTCCTGGATTTCTCCTCCTGGGTTAGAGAGTTAAGAGAGTTTAAGACTCAAAATAGTCAGAAATGTTTCAGATACGGCTAAATCCAGCCTTTTTCCTTTAGCTTTGCTTTCAGACTCAAAAGATTTTGAAACTATTTTCAAAACATCTGCTCAGAAGGAAAATAAACAGTTCATATTTTTGTTTTCCACGTTGAAACTGGTTTTATTTCAGAGCATCAAAACGACTCCAGTCCACCTGCAGCAGGACCGGCCTTTGGCACTTCCCAGATCATTCCCACCTGTGGTGCCAGAGTAAACACGGAGCTCATCGGTGGCTGCTGATAGAGTTTTATCACTTTAGTCAGGCCATCCAAGCAAGCAACAGATCTGAGTGCTCATCAGTACAACTCGCCCATCATGCAGAAAGGACAGCACTGGTTTCTGTACTTTCTGTAGCTCAAAGGGCAGAAAAACCGATGACGGTCCTGATCCTAGTCCTGCAAATCGGGCAAAAACATCAGAAAGCTGGCATTAAAATAATCATATTTCGCATTTTACTAGAGTAGAGATTATTAGTTTTATAGATTACACTTTATCTGGTTAATTTAATCTAAAAAATTTCAAATATTCCTCAAATGAAAAAATATTTCCTGCTGAGACGCCAAGAGGAGACTAAACTAAAAGTGTATTACGCGTGAGGCCTGAGGTCAGCAATCTGACCTTTTTACTTTACCCTTCGGATTTGTGTTTTAACTCTATGGAATTGATTTGAAATGATAATTAAGTTATGAGTGATGTCATGTAACACCAGAGCTCTGGTTCTTATCGAGTCTCAGCAACTAACTCATAAACACTAGCGCCATAGCTTGTCTGGCTGGCTCAGACGTTCCTGTTTTCTGAGCTCAGCGGGGTGTGGCCATGTTTAATTGGTCGAGTGTTTACTTTCTGAGGTTCATTAAATGTCCTTTAAATGTTCCCTTTCACACGTTTCTGCACAAACTGTCCACTGACCCACAACAGCAACACTTAAAACACACACTAGCGTGAACATCATTCATGAGGTCACAACACCTTCAGACTCACTGGGCGACAGAACGAAGGCTCAAATAAACAGGCAGGTTAGTTTTTAGTTTCAGTATGAAACAGCTGGTGATCGTGTGCTGGTGAAGGTTCTCAGTCATGCAGGTCACGGTAGTCTTAAAGGTTCAAGTGAAGGCAACGGGACTTCTTGGTTTCTTGAAGACGTTTCGCTTCTCATCCGAGGAGCTTTGTCAGTTCTAACTGGAATATGGGAGAGTCCAGCTTATAAGCTGTAGCTGTCTGTTATTTAAGGAGCCGAAACTACTCCGAGTACCCCTCCTCTCTACCCCCTGATGAGTCGTTGGGCTCTACTGTGAGGGAGTTGAGTTGATTAGATGCAGAAAAGTGTAGCCTAGGTTGAAACTGCTTAGGAATGAGATTCAAAGCTGCATTATAGGTATTGGAAAGGTGAAATCTAAGCCCCGCCCCTATTGAATGGATAGATGGTTCGAGAGAGAGGAGTAAAAGCAGCCATCTATGTCAAACGTGAAAAACCCACTTAAATAGGGCCGGGGCGAATGCCGTTTAATACCTTGATCAGTGCCGTCTCTGTGCTGTGGTGCTGTCAGCCTGACTGAAGACCATCTAGAATTTTATTTGACTCTAAATTGTTGTTTATTTGGATCATTACCACCTTTTCAATGATTTTCCCTAATCAGACACATCGACACAAAGACTCCCTCTCTATAGAGGCCAGCGACTCATCGGGGTAAAGAGGATGGGTGTTCAGAGTAGTTTCAGCTCCTTAAATAACAACAGACAGCTACAGCTTATAAACGTGACTCTCCCATATTCCAGTTAGAACTGACCAAGCTTCTGATAAACCTGCCAGATCCTGAATTAGCTTTATTACAGCATTAAGGCCTCAGCGTCTCCCATCATGTCTCGGTTTACAGATTCAGAGGAAAACCAGACAAATTCTTTTTTCTTTATTCCTGCTCATCCCGCTGTGGCTCTGGGATTAACAAAGCAAACAGCGCGGCCCATTCACACGCTGGTCCACCGCAGAGGAGAGAGGTCAGCCTTCAGGACTGACTGGGCCATCGACAGGACTGTTGCTGCGTTTTACAGCCAAGATGAAAAGGTTCTGGGAAAGCTGCAGGTTTAGGCAACATCCTGACTGAAGCTCAGCACTGGGATAATTAACAAAAACTTTAAGAGTAAAGCCAGTAAATCTCTTTCACTTAATGCTTTGCTGCAACTCCGGTTTAAATTTGTTGAAAAACATCAATTTCTTACTGCAAGCTGCAACAAAACTGTTAAATTTGCTTCAGGAGTGATTTTGTCTCACATTTCTGGCAAATTTATAAAACAGGTAAGTTTTCTTCTGTTAGTTGTTAATCTGGAGATCTGCTCGCCAAGTGCTGACAAATCTAAGTTTAGGATGTCTTGCAGGATATCTTTTGGTTTGTCGCCACATCAGTATTTGACATTCCAGGATTTAGTCTCCTCCTCCTCTCCTTTAAGTCGTACAGTCAACGCTCCTTCTGCAGCCAAGGAAACTGCATCCAGACGTGTTCAAACAAACAAAGATCCACAAGAAGGATGTCTGCTAGGTGCAGATGCAACGACGACTGTTGACTCGACATCTGTCACTACAGAACCAGCCTACAAGTGAATCAATGTGATACACACAGAACGATTTAGCTGAACTACTGAGAAGCGATTCACGATTGTGAGCATCTCAGTAAACACGCTGTTCAGTGGGGGAGGTGTTCTGCTCTAAAAAACAGCCACGAAGCAGAGAAAAGGACAGCTGATGATAGGCCGTGTGAGGAGAAGCTATGCAGATCAGGGTGAATTCATCTGGCACCAGTTCCTCTCTGAAAGTAAAACTCAGCTGTGCAGCCATTCATCTGCGGAAGAGCACATTCAGACACAAATGGATAATAATCAGCCTAATGCTGCTACTTCCTCATGTTTATATGCAGCCAGTGATGGATTTGGAGGTCAGGACCTCCAAATTGCAGAGTCGAAATTTAGACTTCCCACTCTTTTCTCCTGAATCGGAAACCCCAACGTCAAATAAAATGCACCGTTAGTCTTTTTAACACTTATTTAAATATCTTGACGACCAAACAGATTTACAGGAAGCAACAACTGGGATTTTAAAATGAAAATAAAACTTTTATTAGTGCTCTTGAACCAGAAGAATTGAGCACTAACTGTTGGTGTAAATGTGACGTTTGCTGCTAATTAGTTTAGGAGAGGTGAGACGTTTAAATCCCACACGCGCAGATCTTATTTACTTTTGCTAATCCTGATCTAATCTCCACTAAATGTAAATAAAACATCTTTATGTGGTCATTTAGCCTGACTTTGCATAAATATTTATGGATACTTTAGATTTATTTTAGGCAACCATAAAAGCGTTAAAAAGGCTCCAGATGTGTTGGATGTGTGTGCCGAATTAAAATGCGGGTCAGAGCTGATAAACACACTTTAAATGTTCGCTGTAGCAAATGTTTTGGATCCAGCCCTCCCACTCCTCCACAAATGGATGAGTTTGCATCCTTTTATCACAAAATCCTCAAGTTTGATCTCATCTGCGGCAAACAGGACGTTCACCTGTTTAAACGGCAAACACATCAGGTGTGAAATGAATCCTCCTCTGAGCACCTCGTTTTCTCTGTTTGTACATGTGAGTTTCCTCCTGAGCAGATGGCTGTGTCCATTTGCTGCTGGATGCCTGCTCAAACGTGCAGAACACTTTCAGGGTTTCCTGGAAACCAAACGAAGATTCACTTTTGAAAAATCAGTCTGAGCTGAACTCAAAAAGAATCACTCCCCATCCATTTCTGTCACAACAGTCATATTCGCTTTCGCTTTCTTCATCCTGCGTGCATCCACCCTCAGAAGCATTAACTGGCATCATGACCAGCTCCGCTCCTTTCTGCCAACAGAAGCTCAGCAACTTCATCTGCGGCTGTGTTTTATGTTAGAATCGGAGCAGAAAACATCTTCATCCCTTCAGGAGTTGCTCTAGACAGAATTTAGATTACAACCCTAGAGTTAAGTCATAAGCATTCACATCACGTGTGTTATTACTTCCTTTGGACACATTAAATATGAATCATGTGACTGATTAGGAAGTGGTGACAGCAGGTAACCACTGGCTCTGTGGAGAGCTGGAAGTCTGCATGACCACCATCCTGTGATGAGTCATCAGCTGATCTGTGGAAAATTACAACAAAGCAGATCTTAACAGGTGCTGATGCGCGCTCGATCTCCTGAAACCAATTTCTGAATTAATATCAGTCACTTGTTTTATGATGGGCCTGTTAGTCGGCGGTTCATATGGAGCAAATTCCTCTAGCAGATTTAGACCCAATCGATCCGTTGATTCATTGCTACAGCTGTAGAATTTCTTGATTTTGTGTCCAGGATTTTTACAGCCAGTTGGTAAAATTGTATTTAAAGTTTTTAATCCAGACACACCTAGCTGGTGCCTACTTGTACAGTAAAAAATAACTAGATAAAATTCTATATCCAGATAGGGGGCAATCAAAAGAAGACAGGTTCTGACAGAAGAATCATCCTGTAGCCGATCATCTACTTTAGGTTTTCAGCTAATAGAGCTAAAGTCCAAAAATACCCTTAAAGTAAGAACTATTGATCACAACCACTTGACAAGATTAAAAGAAAGTCTTAGTCAGTGGTAGGAATGAATTAAACAGAAATCTGATTCAAACTGAGCTCAAGGTTAAAAGTTTCACAGAAAAATCCATAAAATCAATTTAGAATGATGAGGATGACTTAAATACACACACACACACACACACACACACACACACACACACACACACACACACACACACACACACACACACAGGGCAGAAACGTGGGGAGGCCCTGTAGCTGTGACCTGCAGCCGCTCCAGTGGAGGTCACAGCAGAAATCGCGTCAAACACCTTAAAAACACAAACACCGACTCCACGCCACCTCAGATGGGACTATAACCGGTTCGGTTGGTCCATACTCTGCTTTATTTGTTCAACGGCGTGGTTTCACTTTTCAGACTGTTGCGCCATGCTGTTATCTAAACAAAAACACGCGGGTGGCCTAATAACCGCCCCGATTAGCCCTTACAGCTACATCCTGGCTTCGTTTAACGAGTTGTTCAAAGATTCAAAGGTGGAACGTTAAACGTTCACATATCCATCTGAGACGCGCTACTTGCGATAAAATAGCTCTGCGTGTGCCCGGCCCCACGTTATTTATATCAGATCGGAACAACTCTTTATAATTACACTAGAACACGTTATTGTTTGGTGTAATTTTATCACTGCGCTGTGGCGGCGGGCGGGACGCCGCATCCGCGACATGATGATGACTACACCTCCTCGCGGTAACGTTATACCACACGGTGAGGCTGTTCTGTCCGTGAAACATCACTTCAACCTACTTGTCGCTTTCATCGACTCCATCCTTCTTCAGCTGTTCGTCCACATCCACCGCGGCGCCCTCCGTTTTGAAGCAGTAGGAGCGAACTGGCGCAGCGTAGGGCGCGGTGCGGCTTCGCGCCGCGGCCGCATGAAGCGCCTTCAGTTGGGGAGATCCAGTTCTGACATCAACAGAACCGAAGCAGCAGCGGTGCTGGAGAGTCGGAGACCAGTTCTTCTGTCTACAGGAGGAAAACGCACGCTTCAAGGGGGCTTTGCTGAACGCCTTCAGGACTGTGGAAAACCTAAAATGTAACATCTCAATCCTATCAGGCGGTGAGAGGGAAACGCGTGGCTCTGAACGTGTCCGGATGTGAAAACTGGGTTCGTAAAGACTGCTTCTCTGAGCGCTGAGAGTCAGAGAGGCGATGAGTCACAGACACCGGTGTCCAAAAATAAATACGAGCACCCGTTCCCGCCCTTCAACGCTCCCATTGGTGGAAAAGCTTCCGCGTTATCTTCTTCTGCCCTGATAGGCGCGTCGCCGGCATGCTGGCGCTATCTGTCGGTTGTTAAAACTACAACACTCACAGTTTTATTTTATAATTTTATACTAGTTCAATCAGTAATCAGTTCACTTCGTTCTTCTTCTAAACTACAACCATTTAACCAATTGAAGTTAAACTGTTATGTTTAAAAGTCCTGATCCACTCATTGTTTCTTTGTAGATTGTGAGCCAGATATTTTGCGTCTTACAATACAATACAAAAGTACAATACAAAGGTACAGTACAAAAGTACAATACAAAAGTACAATACAAAGGTAATACAAAAGTACAATACAAAAGGTACAGTACAAAAGTACAATACAAAAGTACAATAATACTCGCAATAATAGTATTCCAGGATTTCTGAGGGTTGTAAAAGTTTTTATTTTAAATTCCCTTTGGTGGCTTTAGTTATTTGTTTTTAACTTTGGCTGCTTATCTATTCATTTTGCCATTAAAAGTGAGGGTACAAATGTCATTTTAGGTTAATTAAATAATTTTTCTATAATTTATCACCCTGAAATAAAATATAATATATAACAAACACCTCATGAAAAATGTATGTGGAAGAAATAACAAAATTAACATCATAGCGTTAGACTGAGATTAACTTTAAGATTCCTCTGGGAAATTGTTTTTCCCAGCAGCTGAGTGCTGAGTAATTAATAGTAAAAAAGGGGAAATGAAACGAGATTTTCATTATAGCTTTAGGTAATTACGGTAATGTCGCACGTCATATTCGGATATGATGTAGTATGTACCAACAGTCCCTTAGTTAAAACGCCATAAGTTACAGTAAAAATATACTTCTATTAATTAGCTACAGCGAGTTGGTTTCTACAAATATTTATTCAGAGTTGCCTGTCCGCCCTGAGTTATATCTTTCAGGAGATGTAAGGCTCTCCTGTAGACTGCAGCGCCTCCTGGCGGACTCTAGCGTCACGTTCAGAAGTTGCCACGAATGCACAGCTGCACGATGTGGAAGTTACTGAGCTGCTCTCTCTGCCTCTTTGTCTCGTCACAGTTCGGGATCTGTTCTGTTTGGACCTCAGGCAGCGACCCGGACGGTGAGGTGAAGGTTGAAGTTGTGTTCAAGCCTGAGGAGTGCGTCAAGAAGAGCAAGAAAGGAGATCTGGTTAATGCTCACTACGATGGGTTCCTGGCCAAGGATGGGTCCCAGTTTTACTGCAGGTTGGTCCTCACAAGCTGCTTCACTGTTCCGTTGTGTTTGTGCATTAAATGTTACAGTCATGGGTAAAAGAAAGCACATCATCTTTAATCCAAATGATTTTTGCATCAAAACATGAAAATGACCGAGTTTTCTCATTGACATCATTTATTTAACGTAAACCATTAAATAAATAAATAAAATGTGAAGTAAGAGTTGGAGTTTAGTCAATTTGCTTCTCCAGAGCATACAGGTGTGTGTTAACACCAGGAGGAAATCACCAGCAACCGTTTCTGATCATTAGTCTGGGAGGGGTCAAAGGTCATTGCTCTACAAGTAGAGAACATTTAAAACAGTATTCAGTCGTTCCAGGAGAGGCAGTTCTTACTCCTAAAACCTCTCAGTTCTCTGATGTGTTTAGAATAAACAAACATTCTTCTGATGGAATCCTTTGTGTGTCAGTCGGACGGACAAAGATGGCCACCCTCAGTGGTTTGTGTTGGGTGTTGGACAAGTCCTCAAAGGCCTCGACGTTGGGATGATGGGCATGTGTGCTGGGGAGAAGAGGAAGGTCACGATCCCATCAGCGCTGGCATTTGGCGAAAAGGGCAAAGGTGAAAGCATTCAGCCTGGAGTGCCGTTTAAAATGATGCAGCATATTTCATAGAAAATATTCACTATTTATCATTTTTCTAAAGACGTCTCATCCCTCACAGTGTCTTCTCCTCTGCCTGTGGCATGTCCTGTAAGCATGCTCCGAGGTTTAAAGCTGTCCTTTTATCTTTGCATGCAGTGGAGCACAGCAAACTAACAGCTCAGCTCCTGCCTTGGTTGTTGTTTCTATAAATCATCTGATGGGGATGTTGCTTTGCCTTTGGGAGCTGTCACCCAGGTGTGAATAACAACATTTCTTCTTTTTATGTAAAATAATGCTGCTCTGGTAGTTTTAAACTTCTATTTGCCTGCTGCTCAGCTACTGCTAGACAGATGAAACAAAGACATTTGTGTGTTTTAGGAGCTCTAATTTTTATGGTGAGGTGTGATCTTGTTTCTAATGTGACTGAAAAAGGTCCAGTACCACCAAATGCTACCGTGGTGTTTGAGGTGGAAGTTCTGTCTGTGTCTCGTGGACCTCGCAGCATGGAGGCCTTCGGACAAATAGACCAGGATAAAGACAGAAGTCTCTCTAAAGCAGAGGTACCAGAGCTCAAACAAACACATCACATAATAGAATCCTAAATTAGAAAAGGTTAATGTCAAATATGAAAAAATAGGTGTTCAGACCTTTTTGTTGTAGGACAATCTCATATTGTTGGCTTTTACCCTCATTAACATGTTTCTGTTTGCAGACTGTTTATTTTTCCTGTATTTCCAGTTGTGTCTGTTCCTCTGCCCGCTGGCCAGACGAGTCAAAATAAAACCGTTTTCATTATCAGGTAAAACATCGCCTGAAACTGGACTACGAGAAGGACGGGAAGCCGCGTGACGATCCGTTCTACGAGAAGATCATCAATGACATTTTCCGCAAGAGTGACCACGACAGAGACGGGCTGATCAGTGCAAAGGAGTATAATATCTATGAGCACGATGAGCTTTAGTGAAACGTTTGTGCTTTCTCCAATAATTCATATAGAAAGTAAAAGAAATAAAAATCCTCTAGTTTCAAACTTTGCTTCTTAGTGGAATTCCACTTTTTAATTTTTAGTGTCACTGAAAATAAATAAATTTTCTCTTAAAGAGCAAGTCACCCCCTACCAGAGTATTACTTCCTGTTTGAAAAATGCAACAAATGCTGTTGCCTGGCAGACCGAGAGGGCGGAGCCTCTAACAAAAACATAAACACTAGGGGTTGTATGAACTAGTCGACTTCACTGCTCTGTAGTGACTTGTTATGCCTGTCATCGACTAGTCGCTGTCACGTGATAATGACCGACAAGATGCAGTCCTCGGAAAAGACAGCAGGTGACGAGCCCCTGCGCGTCGGGAGGCGGAGGCGACGTGCTGTGCCAGAGCGTCGGTACTGACACCCGCCGTAAAACGGACATTTAACCAACTTGTTAGCTTTTCCCTCTTGCAGTTTAACCTTCCCCTCACCCCCATCCTAACCTTAACCAGCTTGCGCATGCAAAGCTCTGATTGTTGACGCGCTCCAGACATCTGCGTCCTGAGCACGGCCACAGTAACATTATCAAATCAGGTGTCGCCACCTCAAAAACTAATTTAACACGCGATCGTGCATGTCAGCTCATTTCCTTTTATGTTTTCTGTCTTTTATTTGTGCCTGATGCGTTTCGCTGCTGTGGATCGGGGCGCATCACCTGTTTTGTCCTCCGGTGACGCACCTCACCGGTGCAGCCGGCACGCTCTCCGCTGTTTTTGCGGTCGGTAGATCTTTTAGAACTGCAGTTCAAAGGTAACTCATAAGGTGAATATATTTGAACCCAGGTAGCAGTTTTTCTTTAGGACTGAGAGGAGATGCAGGAAGATAATAAACAGACAGGACAGAAAAATAGTCAAATAAAAACAAGTTAGTTTTTGTACCTGGTGGTTGCAACAAACAGACAGAACTTCCTTTTGCAAAACTATTGACTACACGTGTCTGCAGCACGATTAGACACACATTTATATAGTTTATCAGGGGGAAAAATGTTGATTTGGAGGTGACTTGCTCTTTAATGTTAGCATCGGTCTTTGGCACAAATGAAGATTCTTGTTAGAACGGATGTGCTTCAGATTTGTTTTGCAGAACAAAGATTAAATCATGAGACCCAGAATGTGGGGATGATGAGCAGAACTATAAACTGTTAGAAGTTGGGTTAAATCAAATCAAACGTCTTTTCCAGGTTACCCTGAATGTTTTTACCCTCTGCTCTGTGTGACTCCAGACTAACAGTGAAAGAACAGTTATAGGAAGTAGAAACATCCCTGTGGAAAAATTTTACCTGTTGACAGGTGAAGGGTCAGGATTAGACCCAGAATTAGCATCTATCAAAACGGTTTAGTTCTTCAGGGCAAAACTCACACACTTCTGCCAAATTACCTTCAGAGTTGTAAGGGAAATTAGAGCTGAAAGTCTACAGAGCATAATAATAGTTTTAGGAAATGAGCTTCTGAAAGCACAGTCACTGGGATGGAGCTGGAATTCGGCGAGAAAGGGCAAATTCTTAGGAAAAAAATTATTTTTCTAAATTTACCCTAAAAAAACAACCTTTTTTGTTTTGAAGAGTTTATCGTGTCATAATCCAAACACTGAGGAATCAGTTTGTGAAGATGGTGTTTTTCAGGTGTTTGTTTATATTTACTGAAAAACGGAAAATTAAATTTTTGGGAAAACTTTTGTCATACATCCACTGACTCACCAACAGAGGGCAGCCCTTTAAAACAAACTCCTCTCAGAAACCGGTTCTTGATGGTAACTATTCTCCTGGAACTAATTTTATCTTCAGTTACTTTTATTTATTGTTATACGTCATTAACAGCTGTTTTTGAACAAATGTTAGGATCTGACATCAGATCAGTTTAGATAACCAGAAAAAATAAAACACTCTCTAAAATCTGTTCAAAAATACATTTATTAATAAATATCAGTACAATGGGTTATTTACTAATTATTTTGTGTTTCTAAATGTTATTTTGGATCTTCATCCTGACTCGTGGGAGTCTGATGGCAGCTGCCCTCACCTCTGCTGAGATGTCAACACCCAGAGGTGCCCTGAATAAAAAAACATGCATAAAGCTGATTTAATCTGCAGAATAAAACCGTCTCTCTCAGTATTCACTCACTTTGGCTCATAGCGGACGTCCTGGTTTGGCAGCAGAATCCCTCTCCCTTCCCTCAGACGCTCAACACCATTCCTGTTCAGGACAAAGTTAAATGAGTGTCTTGGATAATTCTGGATGAAATCAATCTGATGAGACTGTTCACACACCATGCAACCATCACACCGTTATCAGTGCACAGTTTACCAGGAGGACAGAGCAGACTGAGTCCGGTCCACTCGGTGATGATCGCCAGAACCTTTCGGATGTACCGGTTACTGGCAACTCCTCCAGACACCACCTGGAAAGGCTCTATCAGTCAAATCTACACGTGGGATCACGAATATCTGAGAAAATTAAAGTAAAAGGATGAGGTTCTAAAGTTTTATTTTAAATCCTTCATGACTGTATTTAACCCAGATGTTTTATTTCTGTAATAAGGTCTCAAAAGGGAGAATTTCGAGCAGATTGTGTATTTTATTCAAAAAGGCAAAAGAAACCTCGATTTGTCTCAATAGAAGAGCTTCTGAGAACAACTGCTCAGAGGATCTCCCAATGATAAAATCACCAAACTGATCAAACCTCAAGAAAGAACGAAGGCATCTAGAGGTGACACCAGAACATCTTGAGGAGTTGGAGAAGGGACCAGAAATCTGGTCTATTTGTGCAGGTCAAATACAAATATTACAAAGTGATGTGACTTTACTGAAACTCTTTTTCCACGAGTTTGTTGCAGATTGAAAAGCAGGATTTGATGGATGATTAATTCCAGGATTAGAAGAAGCACTCACCAGAGTGGGATTATCTGCTGGCAGCAGGCTGTTAGCCTTACAGAACAGGATGGCGCGATGTGTACGCTCTGCAAGATGCGAGGCGACGGTGTGTTGAGCGGCTGCTGCTAGATCGTTGACACACGACAGCAACGTTCCTTCTCCTACACCTACGAAGAGGAACTCACAGTCACGAGTCACACTGCAAGTTAGCTACAGATGACATTCAGGAAACTTCTCAGACCTTCCTCTGCCTCCTTTTTCTTTATAGTCATCGTAATCTGGTTCCTGAGTCCAGCAAAAGAAAAGCAGCAGTCAGGAGTTTTACCCATAGGGGTCGTGAAATAAAACCTCTTCCTGTCTCCATCTTTAGCCAGAAGCTCGATAGCTTGTCCTCCACTCAGTGTGCAGCACTGTGGGTGTTTGCTGAGGGACAGACGTCTCGCCACCTGAGAATCCACAAAACGTAGATGATTTTATGAGCAGAGAATTAGGATCTGCAGCCAAAATCAATTCACCTCACTTTATCAAGCGTATCCCCCGGAGCTTCATCCAATGCATGACCCAACAGCAGGAAGTCATCAACTCCCTGAGCCACAGCGAGAAGCGAGTGGCCTCCAGAAACGAGCAGCACCAGAAAGGGGAAGGAAAGAGGGTGGAGCATCCTGACGGTCAGAGCGTGGGCCTCCATGTGGTGGATAGGGATGAAGAGTCTGTTATGCTGTCTCACAAACCTTAGACTGAACTCCAGACCAACGCTCAGGCTCAGGGCCAAGCCCGGCTTTACGGTGGTGGCCACGGCAGAAAGCTGGCTCGGGGTCACGCCGCTCTTCTCCAACGTCTCCCAGACCACACGCTCTATGTTGTCTCTGTGGAGCTGCTGTGCTACTGTGGGGATGATCCCACCCGTCCTGCGGTGTATGAGAGGAAAACAAATAGACACATATGAAACAAAGTGACATTAGTGTGTTTTAAACTATAACCTAGTTAGTCATCGTTAGGTCTGCAAGGTGACTGGTAACAGGCAAAAGCACTGTGAAGATATGCAAATGTGAAAACCTGGGTCCAGCCGCCGATCCAGCAGAACCTCCATCACAATGAGGACGGTTGGGATCAGCTGTTTGTGCTGCTGTGCATTATGGGTAAACATCTCCCCTTGGTCTCCCAGGAAAGCTTTGATCTGGTGAAACTTGATGGACCTGAGCTGACCTTCTGAGAGGATGATTTCTCCTCCTGACACTCTTCTTAAGTAGCCATTCTTGTCATGACCTTTAACATTTCACCCGTTTCCAAACACGTTTTTACATTACACTTGAGGACTTTTTCATGTCCTGACAAAAACCCTAGAACTGAAGGAACCGTAGCTCTGCACTCTGAAACCTACCTCAGATGTTCTTCTTTCTGTGAATGCAGACACTCGCCCAGTATAGAACCGGTTTCGTCTAACACAGCAGCTCCTGTTTCGTCGCAGCTTGTCTCAATACCTAAAACAAGTCTGGAGCAGAATGGCCTTCCAGACGTGTGTTTACACCGTATAAACCTCTGCAGAAAGTCTACCTTTGTTCGGAACATTGTCTTTTTTTTGTTCCACCCGTGAGTTAGAATAATCTAGTAACACACGATGACCTAACTTTATTATTAAATAAACTAAAAAACACAAAACGTCGACCTCATGATGGGAAGCGTAGACCACAGCGTTTAGTTACCCGGACACTTTTCGAAGTTACACAGGTGAGTAGTTATGGCGGACGGTTCTCAGGCTGCTTGACTAAACGCTTTTTTATTCATAATAACCGTAATCTACTGAGGTAAATATAACTTTAACGTTTGCTTACAACTGTAATAAATTAATGCCAAGTGTATATTAATGGCTGTACTGTATCAGCGGTGTTATAAGTTAAAATGTTTAGGAATTTTCCGCTTCCGGTTTGTAAACGGTGTTACTTTCATTTGTGTTGTACTTCTAAATGTGCCACGGTCCTTTCATCGAGACTTATTTTGAGTTATGTTTTTACTAAATTAACCAAAACATTCAGTCCTTCGTACAAATTTGTGCACAACTGACGGTCTGCTCCAGCGCAGTAACAAGACATTAACCTGGTAGGTGTTTTAGTATTTATGTAACAGACAGTAATGCCCCAGGTGCAGCAGCCAGACTTTTGGTTTTGTGCTTTAAGATAATTAACATAATAAACCAACTTCAGTACATATCTCATTTCAGAGTGGATAATTAAGTTTAAATTTGTACTAGAAAACACCAGTGGCTGCAAGAGGTAGTTATAACTCATTTAGGATATGACATCACTTGTTCATGGTGTATTTTTCTTCTGTTTGATTACTAATTTTAATTTAGGTAGGGTTTATATTTAAAAATACTTCCAGTTCATTGTGTGCATGAATTCTAATAAGAATTTCATGTTACCTTTTCCAAGGGAAACATGGATCATCCAACTTGTATTTTGGAACAATTGAAGCAGCTTGTTGTAAAAACTGCTCCTCAAACAGTGTTTTACATCCCAGATTTTATATCCGAAGAGGAGGAATCCTACCTTCTGCAACAGGTCTATAAGTCTCCCAAAACTAAATGGACTTATTTGTCAGGTAGAAGGCTCCAGAACTGGGGAGGGTCACCCCATCCCAGAGGCATGCTGGCAGAGACGATTCCTGACTGGCTCCAGACTTACTGTGAGAAAATATCTTCTCTTGGCGCGTTCAGTGGGAAAACCGCCAACCATGTGTTGGTGAACGAGTATAAACAAGGTGAAGGGATTATGCCTCATGAAGATGGTCCACTGTATCACCCCACTGTCACTACTGTCAGCCTGGGATCCCACACCCTGCTGGACTTCTACAGACCCGTCAGCAGCCTGGAGGACGAAGCACCGCAGACCGAGGAGAACCGATTCCTGTTCTCCCTGCTGCTACAGCCACGCAGTCTTCTGATCCTGCAGGATGAGATGTACCAGCATCTCCTTCATGGCATTCAGAGCTGTTCCCAGGACAACCTAACAGACCAGGTGCTAAACCTGTCTGCTGCTGGAGCCCAGCTCGGAGAGACGCTGACCCGAGGAACCAGGGTGTCCCTCACCATCAGACACGTGCCCAAAGTTATAAAAACAAAACTAATGTTGGGAAGGAAATGATGGAATCGCTTCAGCACAGTCACCACGAGTTGATTAAATATATTAAAAAAATTAATTTAATTAAGACTTGATAACCTCTTGAAGCTTCATATTGTACTAAAGTTGATTTATTTTTAAGGAAAGCATGTACATAAATATGACCTAGCTTTAAAAGGGAATGTCTTCAGCATTGTCCTAGAGAGTTCCAGTATGGGTTTGGTTTAAATGTACTGCAACATTTGTAACGATTTAACAAATCTTGATATGATAACAGATGTAACTGATTAATGAGAATATTGTATTTAAATGTTCTGGAGTTTTATTCTGAAAGGGAAGCAGCTGTTTGTTTTCAAATCCATCTTTCAGTGATTCTCATGCAAAATGAATATTAAAACTGGTTTGCTCATTTCTTACTTTATAGGTTCAATAAAAACAGTTAAACATATATTTGAAAAATGCGTGCCAAAGATGATGTTGTTATACTAAACGTTCAGATCTAAGATTTAAACACTGAAATTTAATATAAATGCTGAAACTGATGTTTCCTAACCCGACAGCCTTTAGTGGTAATACCTCAGCAATTGTCTCCCTTCTCATCAGTCTGTCTCTGGGTTCAGTAGGAATTCTGTCCCACTTCTTATCTCATTCTGATTTGCAGTGACTGGTAACAGCTGAACCATAAACCACTCAGATTTTGTTAGCTTCACTAACTCTGAAAGATGGTCTCTTTGTGTCTGAATGCTGCTTCATTGTGCTGATCTCTGTCCAGCGTGGCTGAAATCCTTTCTCATCGTGTCCTCTGTCCTGCTGATGTGCTGACAGGAGGACATCAAAACAATGGAGCCACAGACGAAACGCTGGAAGGGGTCAGCGTGTGATGCAGACTCCTGGGTCCCCTATCCTGTCCTGTCAGATGAGCAGTCACAAGACGTGGAGCTGGTAGACGCGTTCGCTGCCCCCATCACCAACAAGAAAGCAACGTCTCGGCTTGTCAGGGAGCTGAACGCCCTCTATCCACTCAGTGGCCTTCAGCATATCAAGAGGGTACGAGCTTGTAAGGACGAGAATGGGCCCCACCCGTTGCAAGTGCTTCTGTGCCTCGTCAGCGATGCTCCAGACATGAAGGTGGTCAGCATCGACTCTCTTTTACCTTCGGATGGAGCTAAATGGGAAGGACTAGGGGAGCCCTTTGTGGTGCAGATTCCTGCTTGGCCTCCGTTGACCCGACCTCAGTTTGAGCTGGTGAGCCGGCGCTGGCCCACGTCCTTTCATGAAGACAAACAGGTGACAGTTGCACTCAAAGGAGAACTCTTCGGCCCCCAACAGAAAGCCATGATGCACTTGTACATGATGGCTGCTCTGACCGCTGCTAAAGCTGCCAAGGATCTGGGGATGGAGGCGGTTGGAGCAGTAGTTGTTGACCCCGAGAAGGAGCAGATCATAGCAGTCGGCCATGACTGCAGGGGCAACCACCCTCTGCATCATGCAGTCATGGTGTGTATCGACCTTGTAGCTCAGAGCCAGGGCAGTGGATGTTATCGTTTTGACAGTTTTACAGCCTGCAGCTTTACTTCACCAAAAATAAATGCGTCCAATCCCGAGGTGGGCCCTCGGCCGTACATATGCACTGGGTATGACCTGTATGTGACCAGAGAACCTTGTGTTATGTGCGCCATGGCTCTGGTACATTCCAGGATCGGTCGGGTTTTCTATGGCACCGCCTCTGCAGACGGAGCATTAGGGACCAAGTTTAAAATCCATTCTCGGAAAGACCTGAACCATCGTTTTGAAGTTTTCAGGGGAGTTCTGAGTGACCAGTGTGAGCACCTGAACAGGATGTGACCTCGTTATGGTTTAAAGTGAATTACGTCAAAACATTTTATTACCAAGACCTCACAGAGAATAAAAAACAAGATTTACTATGTAGAAATGTTTCTGATCCTGATTTTTGGTTTGACTGTTTGCAGATTAAGAAATGAGGTCACACCGTTTCATGATTTAGGTATATCCATGTGGAAATGTTTAAATTAAAAAGCAGTAGCCATTTCTGTTTCATCAGGTGAATAAAACCAACTTTTCCAACCAAATTCTCTCGGAGGGTGAACATGTTCTATAATAAATAATTTACATGAGGATATTTAAACCGTTTATTTTGTAAGCCTTTGACTTTTAAAAGACCACGAAATCATCTTGTGATAACCTGAAGGAACGTAAAACTCAACCGGCTTGTTTTAGGCTTTACCAAAATACTAATCCATCATGAAGAAGAGTAATTACATCTTTGCTAAACATGTAATATTTTGTTCCTTTTCCAACATTTTTAATGAGTTTTCTGGTTAATTTTTATTATTGTAACAATAAATCTGATCAGAGAACAAAAAGAACAAATCCCAGAAGGACTTAAGCAGAAAGAGACGGAGCGTCTAGCAGACAGACACGTTTTATTAAAGATTAGGAGCAAGAAATATCCCCTTCAGCTATGGCCAAACAAAGCAGAACTCGCTGCTTCGACTATAGCTAAAGTCCAACCTACAGGGAGCAGCTGCATGTTTGTAGTGGTTCCCACACCGACTGTAAACCTCTCACTAAACAATGGACACACATCAAAAAAGCAGGACAATGAAACAAGATGACCATTTTGTTTAACATAATGAAATCATGCAAATAATGGGTTTTTTAGGGTAACGCCCATGACAACATTGAAGTGAGCCATAGAGTTCCACCAACAGATAATTAACACCTTTGAAAATACTTCATAGCATCCTTGTGGCTACAATACTCATAAAATCTGTCACCATGTGACAAAAGAAAAAAGGCAAATTTGGGTCAACAAAAAGCCTGTTGATGCCTGGGCCAGCCCGGGTCAAAGAAGGTCAAAAACACAATTAAATACTCACATAAGTTAGTAATGCACATGGCATCTGAAAACACCTACTGGCTTTTCCAAACCTCGTAGACCTAAACGCCAGCTTCTATGATTTAGTACACAAATTGGCAGTACAAACAACACAAAACACTGGTAATGCTGACAGGCACAGCATTTAATACTTGTTGATGCCCAAAATTCTCACGCCGTGCAGCTGTGGCAGCTTGGGGATGAGGACGCTCAAAAGTGACACGGTGTTGATGACGAAGTGGGTCGTGTTGTATTTTGTGTAGAAACTTGCTAGAAAGTATCTGCAGGAAAAAAAATGTTCTGAAAACAATCAAACAAAGAAAATGAACACAAAAGAGCTCATCAGTGTACTTACAGAATGATGGGGGAAATGGTGAAGAACTTTCTAGAGGAAGTGAACTGCACGCCGCCGTCGAGCTGCTCCCAGTGAGTCAGAAGCCTGGCTTTTCCCTGGTCGGGGGTCTCAAAAGGTGTACCTTTCACTGCATGCATGAACACATACATGCCCTACGAAAGAGTACATGCAAATATAAAAAAGGAGCAACTACCAAGAACATTTTCTTTCTGTGAAGGCCAGAAAGCCTAGAGACATGACCTTTATACTCTCAAGCAACGCTACATATTAGCTATTGTGTAAACATGACTGATGCAACCTTGTGGGCTCAGGACATTGTCACTGCTAGAGACCCACCGATATGGGGTTTTCTTTTGCCGATGCCAGGGCTGATAAAAGATTTTTTCCACCTTATTTGCAGGCTAAGCTGTCACTAACAACAGTGGACTCAACATTTCTTTTTTATTCACCGTGTCCAGCTGTGAAGCAATCAGAATGGATGTGTGAATGCCGAAGACAAGCCTTGCAGTTTCACTCTCACAGGTGGAGCATTATAGCTTCTGCTATAACGCCACTCCTGATACCAAAACTTTATTAGAAATGTTTTCGGACACAGAGACAGCAGTGTAAGAGAAACGGGGAGAGAGAGGGAAGAGGTGGGGGAGGGGAGTTCACAAAAAAAAAAAAAAAACAATAAATGATGATGAAGAATCTGCTTCTAGACCTGCAGAAAGAGAGAGAGAGAAAAGAGACACAAAAATACAACAAGACCAAAATACCCCGCACCGACAACACGAGGATATAAAAAAGTAACCATTTTTGCTGAAACACACGGTAATGATTCATTGTGTGTTTAGTGTGAACCACAGCCACCACACAGGTGATGTGTTGAAAATGCCCAAGTCCATCCTTGTGAGAGCACCATGTGAGCACCTGTGCACGAACATGCACTTGTATATGTAAGGTTTCTTTATAGGACTGTCCAATAGTGAGTGTGAGGGGCCACAGATCTGCCCCCAAGATGGAGGAATTCCAAGCCCTAGAGGTCCATGTGTCTCCGCAAAGCGCAGGAACCCCAGGGAGGCAGTCGCCGGAGAAGCCCCAACCCCCTCCCTAGAGGTGCAGAGGATTACCCCGGGACCAGCAGCCGCCAGAGCCCTGGGAGATAACATGACAAGCCCGCAGCCGCCCATCCCCGAGCTAGCTGAGCTCGGAACACAGTAGCCCGGGATTCACAACGTTTCTAAACCGGATCAGTTTTTGAACTCTGGCTTTAACCGGCTGCTTCATCTTGATTCTGTGCAATGCACAATATTAAAAGCAAACATTTAACCAAACAAATCAATAAGCTGACTAAGTATTAAACATAAAACAGGTAAATAATGAAGTCAGGTAATAAATGCATTTCTTAAGCAGATGTTAGGAGAATAAATATACATTTAATGTATTAAATTTAGTGTTACGGCAGCAGCAGTGGGCTGCCCACAGATGTGCTGGATTTTACATTGGGTCTACTAAAGACGGATCAGCCAATGCTGATATAAGGACTGGTAAATATTGGCCAACTGATATATTGGCCTGTCACTAGTCACTGCATCCTAAAAAGTAACCTGTAACTGTTTCAGACCACATCAGATCAACAAACACATTCTCTGGACATCAGCTTATGGGCAGAAAGGCAGTGGACCAATGAGTCCACACTTAAACACGAGGAAAAGATCCTCCAGACTGTTGTCAGAACTCAGGTCACCATGTGAGGAGGAGAACGGAGGAGCAGATGGCTGAGTAGCAAAAACGATAAATTAAAGAGTAAGTCACCCCCAAATCAACATTTTTTTCCCTGATAAACTATATAAATGCGTGTCTAATCATGCTGCAGACACGTGTGGTTAATAGTTTTGCACTTTAGTGCATTTTAGTTAAAATTTAAATGTTCTGCCTAAAACTGTCAGTGTTGTGCCGTTGTCAGGTAAAGACTCTGCACTGCATTTGCATTTAAATCTGCCATCGCTATTGGCTAAGAGGTACCCTAGAACGTTAGCTGGTACCATATGATGTCACAATGTCGTTGTGAGCCTGTGTGTGTGTGTATTTGTTAGCGGCTCCGCCCTCTCGGTCTGTTAGGCAACAGCATTTGTTGCATTTTTCAAACAGGAAGTTGGAGCGGAGTAATACTCTGGTAGGGGGTGACTTGCTCTTTAAGAAAAAACTGATGCAGATTTCTCAGAGTTCAACAATTAGCATCTTTGGTTCCCCAAAATATAAGATGATTTTTTTAAAATCAAATTTAAAACTTTCTGGAAAATGGAGACTTATAAAAAAAACTGCAGTTTCAGGTTATATTTTAAACATACATATTTAAAATATAATATATATATTTTAAATATTACATTTGTAAGACACTGGGTTGGTTGTGTTTCCTGTAATTTTATTTTGAAAAGCTACATGAGCTGCTCTGCCAGCCACACCCTTAATGGATGAATACAAGCCAGGTGTGAGGGACACGCAGAACCTGGATGAAGTGCTGACAAGCAGCTAGCTGAAAACGAACTGGCAATCAATTCATTGCCAAAGGAATAACTAATGAAAGGACTAAAAGGAAGACAGATGGATTCCCTTTGTGTTTTAAGCAAAACAGCCAACGAGTTTCACTGTGATTCCCTCCAAGCAACACAGATGCAAGTGATTTCTTTTACGGGTTTAAGGGAGGTCTAAGGAAAGGAGGACAGAAGAGGTCCACAACGAAAGGAAGTCCAATAAACCCGTACTTGCATCTGTGTTGCTTGGAGGGAATCACAATGATTTACTTACGGTTATGATTCAAGAATTACTAACAGTAATTCTTTTGACAAAACATAGATTAAACTCCTGAAATTACATGCTGCTGCCAGTGTCTATTCGTCCTAATAGAAACCCAATACCTCCAGCTTTGTGCAGGTGTTGCTAAGGGAAATGTGAAATTAACAACCACTGATGTAAAGTCAAGGCACAGTCAGCACTCTGTTGCTGTATTGTTGTGGGAAACCTGGCTTTTACTTTTATAGCTATAAAAAGGCTGTTTGGTTTAAAGATCTTACGTCATGTTGGGAATATTAAAGCTCCCATAAAAGCCTCTAAAAGAAACCAACATATGAACCCTCGCAGCCTCTGCGCTCCTCTGGCAGGCGTCTCCTGGTCATCCCTAAAGTCAGGACACAAACTCACGGCGAGGCGTCCTTCCAGTGTTATGGCCCTCGCCTCAGGAACGAGCTGCCAGAGGACCTCAAGGCCGCAGAGAACGTTCATGTTTTTAAGTCCAGGCTCAAGACCCGTCTTTTTAGGTTAGCTTTTATCTAAATATTTACTACAGTTTCATTTCTCGTTTTACATGATTATATTTTATTACTTGCTTTGCATGTTTTATATGATTATATTTTAGCACAGTTTTATTATTTATTATTATTATTTTACTGTCTATATGATTTTATTTATTACTTATTTTCTAACTTTTGTCATTTATATTAGCTCTTTTATTACATTTTGACTCATTTTAATCCAGTGTTTCCTCTGTGGGGGCCCTCTGCCCCGGGAGCGGTGGTCGACTGTAGCTTCATGGGTGCTCTATAGGTGGGGGTCTATGCTCCCCCTCCACTGAACACCCTGACTTAGTGTGGAAGAGCTGATGCTGCCGGGGCAGACGGCTCCTCTGATGGCGTTTCCTTGCGTTACCATACTTGGCTCATCTAGACTCAACCAAATATAATTTTTACTTGTGTGTGTGTGTTTGCACATGTCTGTTAATGTTTTTAACCTGTTATGGGAATCTGGGGTCATTTTGTAAAGCACTTTGAGTAGCACTTTGTTTGAAAAGCGCTTTATAAATAAATTTGATTGATTGATTGAAAAACATTAACAAGCACAGTGACAGCAATGATAAGTCAGAGCGGACTGTTGGGATAATCCAGAGGTCTGGAGACACAAACGCTCCTGTTTGCTGTTTGGAGAGCAGCACAAACAGGCAGCAAGGTAACGCTTACCAAGTTGTGAATGACGTTGGTTAAAGTCCACACCACAGGAACACTGAAGAAAGGTATGCTCAAAAGCACAATGTGAAGTACTCCAACTCCAAGCGCATACGTCAACCAAATCCCTCGACTGTTCATCACCCGGGTGTTTGGGTTCACCTCACTGTGTGCCACACCCACGTTCATTCTGGTCTGTGGACAGATACATCACATCACTCATGCAACTTTTGCACTCATTCTGTAATTCATAAATAAACCCAGTACATATTTTATGTAAAAGGACCTGGACTAAAACAGGTTTGTTTCACATGATTATGTAAACAAAGCTCCTGCAGCAACCTGTTATCACTTCTTCTCCCTATCAAATGTGGTAAATAAAAATAATAAAACGTGTGCAATATTGCTGAACTTTGTTCTCTGGAAAGCTTTCAGTTGCCAGCCTGGATTAGATCGGATTTTAAAGTTCAGCCAATAGTCTCACCAGAAAAGATGAAAATAAACCCCAAATAGTGACAACCCAGTTGCAAACTCTTTATATTTTGACATTACATACGCTTATCCTAACTTACTTTTGCGTCAGATTTCACCATGCACCTGCAACGAAGCTGACTACCAGCTCGTTTAAATGGAAAAACTACTTGCAAACAAACGGTTCGAGGTTTGTTGTTCCACTAACGGCTCCGACTATTTTTTGGAACATACTATCGTTAACAGTCGCTATTTTAAACGCAGTTAAAAACAGTAAAATGCACAAAATATAACGAATTTCGCTACTCACAACGCTCCCGTAAAAATCGTAAATGTTCTACGACCTCTTTCCAAACGTTAGTCCCTTCCCATTCTTTTGTTTTCACTACATAGCCGGAGCCTGTACACCAATATTCCAACAGCAAGTTGGTCAGCGGCAACATTTAATAATAAATACTAACTAAAAGTTAAACTAATTAGATTCGAATTTTGTTACTATCAGCTTACAGGTAGCAGCGAGCAGCAGACGGTTTTTACATTAACAACTATGGCGAGAATCAGTTTGTCCTCTTGTTGTTGTGCGCAGAAGCTCTTGGGCAGAGCGGAAGTGGATGTACTGGTGTAATGCCTCTTTGATTGTCTGACAGGAAATTAACACGTCCTCAGAAATTACACAAATAGGAATATTTGCCAATTTTATTAACAATTGTTTAATGTATGTGAATAAACAAAGCCTGCTTTTTCTTATGTTAATTATAAAACAAACACTCGGCAAACAAATGCTGGTTAAACTACCTGTGAGATCTAACACAGGGAAAAATGTTCTCGAAACTCACCCATTTGTGCCAGCCCTCGCAGATACTTTGACCAATCAGCATGTGGTATGTAGGGCGGGAAACAGTCCATTTTTCAGTGTTGCGTCAAAATATGTCCTCCCAGCGATTTATCACCCGCTTTCTCCTATTTTCTCCCTAATTTACGTCGTTTTAGGTAAAGGTATCTTTAAAAAACGAACAGTGTCTTTTAACATTTTTGCCCTTATAGATGAAGAAAAAAATCCAATGTAATGACTGAGCATTAAGGATAGTTAGTCGGAACTCCCGTGGTCATCGTAAGAATAAGAGCACCCACTTTTCAAAGCATAAAACACATTTTTTACTGAATTATATACCATGAGTTTTGTTTTTTTACGTGAAAGTGTGTGCATTTTAGTAAGGGGAACAGTCCTTGATGGCTGTGGGGACGCATTTTTCTGCACGAACACATCTCGACGTAACACTAGTTTGTTTTGGATGCTGGAAAGAGTTAAGCTAGTAAGTAGTTACCACGATTAAACGTGTTTAAATTGGTCATATTTTCACATAACTGGAATTATGATTGTTAGCTCAGATAAATTACAATTTGCTGATGAACGCCTTCAACTATAATTTCCTGTTTGATGTTTTGATTATTCATTTTTATTTGCACGTGTCTGAAAATCATTCAGATAATCATGCTATTAGTTATTTTCAGTGATGAACAGCTTAAAGTGGATTTGTATTTATTTGGTTTTCAGCATAACGAGAAACTGATAACACATTTTGCAGATGGAACATGACATTAGACCTCCTATGTGAAGTGAAATATTTAAGTACACCGCGCTGATGGAGGCAAATTATTCATATTCTGCCTTTAAAGGCCGTTTGATAAAAGAAGAAATAACAGGCTGTATTAGAATTTTGGGTAACTTTAATTAGAATATGTATGGGGCGGCAGTAGCTCAGGTGGTAGAGCGGGTTGCCTCATGATCGGAGGGTCATGGGCTCGATTCCAGCTCCCGCCAGGGGCATCCTGCTGTTGTGTCCTTGGGCAAGACACTTCACCCAACTTGCCTGTGTTAGTGGTGGTCAGAGGGGCCGACGGCGCCAAATGGCAGCCTCGCCTCTGTCAGACCTCCCCAGGGCGGCTGTGGCTACAAGTAGCTTACCATCACTAGCAGTGTGTGAACGTGAGAGTGTGAAAGCGTCTTTGGGTGTCTAGAAAAGCGCTATATAAGTTCAATGCATTATTATTATTATTATATTAGGGACTGCTGGGCTGTAGCATCTTTATGTGAACTACTCTGGTAGGATAAACCTAATCATCACACAAGCTTTAAAGCTTGAAGCAGAGATATCCAAGGTGCGTCCCATGGGGCCCTTTTTGGCCCTCAACTGCAGTTCAGGGATGATTTTACCACACTGGCACATTATTACAATGCACTGGTCAATCTGCTTTCATCGCCTATCATAGCTGTGCTGATGACACCCAGATCTACCTAGCCTTATCTACTAGTGACTGTCGTCCACTGACTCACTCTGTCAGTGCCTAGAACAAGTAAACGACTGGATGCAGTCAAACGTCCTCCAGCTAAACAAAGACAGGACTGAAGTTATTGGCTTTGGCAACAATGGATAGATAGAATGGATGTCAATGCTCAGTTGGACTCCAGGGGAATAAATACAAAAACCCAGATTAGAAATCTAGGTGTTATTATTGACTCCGACCTGAGCTTCTCTGGACATATTAAGGCTATGGAGCGCTAAATCAGCGTTTTATCCCTACACTGGTTACCAGTAAACTGCAGAATAGACTTCTAAGTGCTTCTACTAGTTTATGAATCACTCAATGGCATGGGGCCAGAATACATGTCCAATCTCATTCCTGTATACACACCCAATAGGGCTCTGAGATCCCTTGTCAGAATCAGCTGGTAGAACCGCGGGTCAGAACCATGTCAGCTAGAACCTCGGGTCAGAACCATGTCAGCTAGAACCTCGGGTCAGAACCATGTCAGCTGGTAGAACCGCGGGTCAGAACCAAACATGGTGGAGATGCATTTAGTTACTATGCTGCTCACATATGGAATCAGCTTCCCCATGACCTCAGATGTGCCCCAACCCTAGTGCTGTTTAAAACACAACTAAAACCCTCATGTACTCATCAGCCTTTACATGAATGGTTTCTCATGCTGCGTCGTCTCCACTGTAATCTGCGCTGTAACTTTGTCTCCTTTAGCTCTAAACTGTAATTCTATCTGTGTGTATTTTAATTTGTGTTTTTATGTCGTTTTCATGTCATTTCCTGCTAATTGTAAAGCACATTGAATTACCTCTGTGTTTGAAATGTGCTCCATAAATGAAGCTGCCTTGCCTTCGTACCTCACCGATGGTCACGAGCTTTGGGTAGTGAGTGAAAGAATGAGATCACAGATACAAGTGACCAAAATAAGCTTTCTTCGCTGGGTGGCTGGGCTCTCCCTCAGAGATAGGGCGAGAAGCTCGGTCATCCGGGAGGGGCTTGGAGTAGTTGAATTTGCTCAGGCATCTGGTTAGAATGCCTCCTGGACGCCTCCCTGCTGAGATTTTCCGGGCATGTCCACCCACGTGGAGACTTTACGGGAGACCCAGGACACGCTGGAGGGACACTGTCTTAGGTGGCCAGGGAACGCCTTGGGATTCCCCCAGAGGTGCTGACCCAAGTGGCTGGGAAGTGGGAAGTTTAGGAGTGAGCTCCTTTCTGCTTAGGCTGCTGTCCCACGACCCGACCCCGGATAAGTGGAGGAGAACGGATAGATATTGCATTTAATTTTACGATTAATGTCTTGCCCTTGTCCCAAATGTCTGCATGTTACTGGCTTGAAGGATCTGCTGCTGGCTGAAACCTCGGCGGACCTTCAGAGGTCTAACACAAGTAATGATTTGTTGTGTTCTGGCTCCAAACAAACAACCTACCACAAAATGAGACTTCTTTTTAACTTAATGATGCTGATTTGTTTGTAACTTCTCTGTAGAAATCTGCTGTGATAACTTGGTGATCTTCATCTAGGCTGTTGTTCTTAGTGACCCTCAGACACTTTTAATCTTTCACAGAAGTCCTGAGCTATGAAGCAGCTTCCACCAGACACTGTGCGGCTGCTGTCCAGCTCCCAGGTCATCACTTCTGTTGTGAATGTTGTGAAAGAACTGGTGGAGAACTCCCTGGATGCTGGAGCATTAAACATCGATGTAAAACTGGTATGATGCTTTCTCACTATCTGTGTTTGTTTGTGCCACAGCAGAAGTAAAAGTACCCGTGACTGAACATCTAAACAAAGCCCGAGTTGTAGCAGCATTACTGGAGGAATCGTCCACTTCCTACACGTGAAACTGTTCAGCAGCATGTGTTTCTCTTCCTTCGCTGAATGTGTTAACTTCTTAATTTTTAGGAGAACTTTGGCTTGGATCGGATAGAAGTACGTGACAACGGTCATGGAATCAAAGCTGTGGATGCTCCTGTGGTGGCGGTCAGACATTTCACCTCAAAGATCTGCAGCCATGAAGATCTGGAGCATCTGGAAACGTACGGCTTTAGGGGTGAGGCGCTCGGATCCATCTGCGCTGTGGCTGAGGTGAAGTCCATAAATGGTGGTCGCATGATAACAGAATGTATTTCATAAAGAACTGAAGTTAAGCATTCCTTTTATTCGTGGGATATTCATCAGATAACAGAAACAAGCTCGTTTTATAGCTCGCCTTCTTCTTTTTGGTGCCGAGCTGTAATTAAAAATGTGTCTGTTAACCAGTGAGCATCATCAGGATTTAGTGACAGCCCTGCTTGATTATTTTGGTTCTCCTCAGGTGGCTGTTACCACAAAGACAGAGGCAGACGACGTCAGCATCCAATACTCACTAGACTCTACAGGAACCATTGTTTCTCAGAAACCGTCTCACTTAGATCAAGGCAAGTAAACAGCAGAGAAACGCTCTGAGAGCAGAAGTCAGGTTTAAACCTGAGAAACTGGATGATAGTTTAGTTTAAAACTTACCAGATAAATCAGGTGTCTGTGTAATTAGTTCTATTTACTTTTAAATGACAGGAATAATAAACATCCCATCAAATAAAAGGTGACTTCTGCATGTCAGTACTACAACATGTTTCAGAGTAAATTAGAGCTTAAAGCACACGCTGGGTACTAATAATGTCTAAAAGGATGAAGTTGTTTCGTGTGATTGTTTTTAATAAGCAGCCTTTTGATTTTCCAGGTACGACTGTGAGTGTGACGAAGCTTTTTAGGAACCTTCCAGTGAGGCGACAGTTCTACTCGTCCACTAAGAAATGTAAAGAGGAGCTGAAGAAGGTGCAGGAGCTGCTGATGGCCTACGCCCTCATAAAGCCTGAGCTCAGACTACTGTTGGTTCATAATAAGGTCAGCAAGGTTACCTCACAGGTCACTGAAAGAGCAAGTCACCCCTAAATCAACATTGTTTCTGATAAACTATATAAATGCATGTCTAATCGTGCTGCAGACACGTGTAGTCAGTAGTTTTGCACTTTAGTGCATTCTAGTTAAAATTTAAATGTTCTGCCTAAAACTGTCAGTGTTGTGCCGTTGTCAGGTAAAAACTCTGCTCTGCATTTGAATTTAAATCTGCCATCGCTATTGGCTTAGGCCTAGTCCACACGTAGCCGGGTTTTTTAAAAACGAATATCCGCCCCTCAAAAACTTGCATCCACACCACCTCATTTTAAAACTAAACTCTGTCCACACGTACCCGGATAAACACGTTGTTATGGACATGCCAGACCTGTAGGCGGCAGTACTTCCCCCGTTCTTAACCTCGTCCTTCGTCTGTGGTCTTCCGCAAAGAGCAGTAATTCCGCTTGCAAAAACTAACAAGCAAAAAGCGCTTGGACAATTGATAAAGCGAGCGCAGCTCTGAAGGCTTCCATGCTGTCGGCTAGTGTAAACACAGGTCGCACACGTGATGTCAGCATTTTTTTGCCGCGGAAAGTGACGTTGCGGACCTTAAAACTCAGTTTTTGTCCGTCCACACGCAGACACCCAAAACGGAGAAAACGCAGATCTTCACTTTGGCCGGAGTTTTTAAAAAGATCCGTTTTCGTGTGAAAAAACTCCGTTTTCGTGTGGATGACAGGCCGAAACGTAGAAAAATATCTACGTTTTGGCAGATCCCCAGCTACGTGTGGACAGGGCCTAAGGTACCCTAGAACGTTAGCTGGTACCATATGATGTCACAATGTCATTGTGAGCCTGTGTGTGTGTGTATTTGTTAGCGGCTCCGCCCTCTCGGTCTGCTAGGCAACAGCATTTGTTGCATTTCAAACAGGAAGTTGGAGTGGAGTAATACTCTGGTAGGGGGTGACTTGCTCTTTAATGAATAAAACATTTTTATATATTTTTTATTTATTTATTTATTTTTTATCTTTTATTTCATTCACAATGTATAAAATAAACACAAACAAATACAGGATACATTAACATATTGAAAAAAAACATTTGAATGAAAAGGAGCAGACAGAAGAAAAAATCTTATGATTTCTGCCCCTTTTTACGAAATAAAATTATCCGCCAAACAAACACAATATAACCTCGGTCACTTTATAATATTTTCACGTCTAATCTTTGACATTATAATTCTTCTTTTCATAATTACTAAATACATTAGATTTTATACATTTTTTAAATATTGCAAGTGTAGTTGATTCTTTAAATTCCTTGTTAATGGCATTCCACAATCTTACACCATTTACAGAAATGTTACATTCCCTCACTTTGGTTCTGAATCTAGGTTTCTCAAAGACATCAGTTCCTTTTAACATGTACCCACTTACTCTCTTATGAAACATTTTCTGAATATTAGTTGGTAGATTACTTGTATTCGCTCTGTACATTATTTGCAATATTTTCCACTCTACCAAGTCAGGAAATTTCAGTATTTTGTATCTAATGAATAATTGATTAGTGTGATCTCTATAGTTACTGTTATTAATGATTCTCAATGCTCTTTTTTGCAAAATGATCAATGGTTGTGTAAAAGTTTTGCAAGTGGCTCCCCAAATTTCTAAACAATAAAATAAATATGGTTCAATCAGTGAGTGATACAATGTTAACAACCCCGACAAATTTAGTAGAAACTTGACTCTATATAATACCCCTATGGCTTTGGCAATTTTCCCCTTTATATAACCTACATGTGATTTCCACGTGAGACTCTCATCGAACATGACTCCAAGAAATTTGGTTTCTTTTACCCTTTGAATTTCCATTCCATCTATCATTAAAGATACATCACAGCTTCTTTTGTTATTAAACAGTATATAGTTTGTTTTGTTCAGGTTCAGTGACAGTCTATTTATATCAAACCATTTTTTAACTTTAATCAATTCACTGTTTATCACTTGAGTTACTTCATGTATATTTAATCCTGAATAAAACAATGTAGTATCATCCGCAAATAAAACTGTGCCAAGTAAATTCGACACATTTACCAGGTCATTAATAAACAATATGAACAGTTTAGGTCCGAGGACTGACCCTTGTGGTACACCATAATAAATATCTTTTAATTCAGATTTAGCATTATTTATTTGAACAAACTGTTTTCTATTGCGTAAATAACTATTAACCCATTGATGCGCCACCCCTCTTATTCCATACCGGTGTAATTTAAGAAGTAACCTTGAATGATCAATGACATCAAATGCCTTTTTTAAGTCAATAAATTTTATTTATTTCTGTTTATTTCTGTGGACAGACAAAATTTTAGGATGAAATATTGAGTTAATATTGTTTTTGAATGTCCACATGGTTTTGTTTTTCTAACTTTGGGTTGTCCCAGACAGCAGAGCAGACATGCTCTTTCTTCTGTAACCACTTGGTGTCCTCATAACATCTGACTTCCAATAAGAATTCACATCAGTTTTATAAATGTAGAAACCTGAAGTCTGTATAAATCTGTGTGTGAGTTTCTGAAACCTCGTAAGCTGGTTCAATCACGCAATATGCCCGATCAGAATGCAGAACAAAAAACATAAACAACAACAAATAAATAACATTCTCTATTCTGACATGTTGCAAAGCTCAAAAAACAATTTATCAAGTTCCTACAAGCATGAATTCTCAGACATGATCATAACTACCACCCTGATTGTGTTTTTAAACCTTTTTCATTATTTATATAGTTTGCTGTATAAGACACCTAAATAATCCTGCAGCAAAGTCATTTTCTTCATCCTGTTTTGTGTTTCTGATACTTTATTACTGGTATGTGGTTTAAAAGCTTGTCTGCACTGATGTTTCATCAGAAAAACCTTCAAGCAATAAGATGACTGAGAAGTGAGGGGACAGAAGGGTCACATGGTAAATGATCCAGCCTACAGAACCCGTCTGGTCCACCACGGCTCTTAATACAGGCAGAAACTCTCCAGTCTGCTGCTGTTTTGTTTCTAACACAAATCTCTGACCTGTGAATTCGTTTTATGATGGAAAGCATTAAACTGGCTTGTGGAGATGTTCAGAGTTCCTTTTCTTCTGCTTGCAGGTCAGTGAGTTTGCTCACGACGGCTCTTTAAGTCTCAGAACCGGGTTTTGAGATTTTAACGGAGCACATTTTGTGCAATCAGCTCTCCGCAGGCCGTATCCTTTACCTCCTGCTCTGCTGTTTGCCTTGTGTCATGTTTCTCTTCAGGAACTGTTTACAGGGCTAATCTGTTTGCTTGTGCCAAATTGTACATTTAATATCAGACACGTCCTGCAACCAGGTGTGTCCAGTCAACACCTAAAGCATACTGTATATTTACTGATGCACAAAAATACTCCGTTAAAAGCTGATGCGGAATTTCTGAAATATTTATTTTTATCTCACTGAGAAGAAGACTCTCGGAGGTGTTTTATCGTTTCAGGTGGTGATTTGGCAGAAAGCCAAAGCAGCCGATGACAGAAGCGCCCTCGTCGCTACGCTGGGGTCCGGCATCGTCCCTAACCTGCTGCCATGTCACCAACGTCAGGAGCAGCCTAAGGTGACTTCAAAAGGGATTTTTTTATTTGTAGTGAGGGTTTTGTCTAAGTTAGAATCCTACCAGCAGCATCCAAAGGTAAAACGTTTACCTGAGACAGGTACATGAACTGGTTCTGTTCCAGAAGATGAACGGTATCTGAAGTCTAAAACAACAGAAATGACTCCAGCCGGGCCTGAGAGACGCTTCGGCTGACAGCCGTTTGGCTCTTCTCTGAGTTACGGACCCTTCTCTCTGCTTGAGTGACCCATAAATTCAGAGTTAGGTGGTTTAACAATTAAACTAAACAATTATCTGAAAATGTTCTGCTGTAAAGACTGAAACTCTGCAAGGCCTTCAGAAAGTCTGCAGATGTATTCTCGGTGTATTTTATACATTTAAATGCGGGCTTGTTTTGATGATTTAAAAGCCTCTCTGGTTCCGTCCTGTTCTGATGTTTCGTTGGTTCAGGTCTGCAGGTTAGGGTGGGTATGTTTGTGGAGCTTGCACGTTACGTTTGACCGTGAGCCAATCCCTTCATCGTGGTCGCCTGGTCTCTAGCCAGCGAATGTGGTCAGTTGGTGGCGGGCCAACTCTTCCTGTGCCCTTTTCTCCTGAGTTCTTTCTTGATGAGGAGTGATTTCTGTTAGCTAAGCTTTGCTGTGCTGATGGTAATGAAATTAGCGTGGAGCTGTGACTTTCTGCGTGGTCACGGTAGGTGTCATGTGGCTCCTACCTGCTGCCAGCCTCTCACATAATCTCGTCTGACAGATATAGAGCAGCGCTGTTCACCCTGCTTCTCTCCCATTTCCCCCTTTGTTGTTGTTGTTTTGCTGCTCGGTGCCCAGCTATGAGAACAACCTTTGACCTTTTACTCCCTGTAGTAATGAAAGAGATTTTTTCCTTCATCTCCAGAAGAACAAAGCCCCGTGATCAAGGAAACCGTTTCGATGCGAGCTCTTGTTTTGCAGAAACAAAAATATGACCCTCTGTTTTTTCTCTGCCGCTCGGCTTCACACAGCTGAGGACCTCTGGGGCCAGAGGTGCCGTTCCTTCTCTCATAAAGTGACCCTAATGAGCAGAACCGGAGCGAAACATGTGCGCCCCGACCTGAGGCTGCAGTTGGTTCATTAACGTCGCTGGCATGTGCGAGGCTAATAACGAGCCCTAGGCCGTGTGGAAAGACGCATAGCTGCTCACTGCTAACATTAATAGCTCTGTATAATTTCTTACAAGCTTATGTTCCTAATGGACTTTTAAGTGCAGTTCTCCAGTTTTATGCTGAGTCATCAGTTTTGGCTCTTGAGAACTTGGTTGGACAGGTGAAAGAACATCCTTCATGTCTTATTAAAGCCTACACATGACAGGAAAACACAAAGTCTGGTGTTTGTTGTTTAATTCATGTCATTTGACATGAAGCTCATGAAGTGGGTCAGCTTCTGTGGGCATTCATCTCTAACTCTGGCATGAAAAGCAGCTTTCTTTGCACTTTACTCCTAACACTTCAAATCATCGGTTTCTTTGGATTTTTGCAGCTTTTTCACTTACTGCTGATTTTTGTTTGTTAATGCTGACCCTTGAATCATCAGCAGGCTGGAGGGGTGAGCGATGTCGTGTCTGACTATGGTTCTTCTTTCATCCTAGTTTAGAATCACCTGTTTTCTTCATGTTGTCTTTGATTATAAAATTTGTCATTTCTCTTTAACAGATTATTATTGATGGGTTTTTCCCAAAACCTGGTGTTGATTGTTCCTCTACAAGCTCGTCTACTCCTGAAAAAACCTTTATATTCATCAATAATCGACCAGTCCACCATAAGGAAGTCATGAAGGTTAACTTAGCTGTTGAGCACATTAGTCCGAGCGACAGCGTCGACCCAGGCAGTTCTTTTAGTCTAACTTTTATCTTCTGTTATGTTTTGGTCTGAACGTGGGATCTAACCGCAGTTATTACGCCAGCACTACTCAGCTCAGTACCCAGAGGATTCAGCCCGACATCGATATCCCATCATCGTGATTAAAATCACAGTTTCACCTTCTGCTGTGGATGTAAATCTGACACCAGATAAAACACAAGTTCTTCTTCATAACAAGGTACAGCAGAAATACAGCTTTCCTTCACGTCTGGCTGAAGTTTCTCATGTCTGACTGTGCCTGTGGGATTTTTTAACTCTCGTTTAGGAGGCTGTGTTGACGGCAGTGGAGGCTCTGCTGGTTTCTCTTTATGGCTTCAGACCCGGTTCTGACCTCCCACCTGAGCAGCAGCTCAACCATGAGACACTTCCTCCTCCACCTCTACAAACGGATGCCTCGCAGCTGAAAAACAAAAGGAGTGATGTCAGAGATGACAACGTCCTCACAGAGGCAGAGACACATGCTGACTCAGCACAAAGTTCTGATGTTTCTCTGGAGCGCCAAGCTTCAAACACTAGCTCTTCATCGTCTACTGCAGACGACTGGATTGATGATGGCATCGCAACAAAAACGAGCTCTGTGAGCAAATCTCCAGAGAGACGTGGACATGCAGACGTTTCAGCTGCAGAAACAAGAAAGCACCAAATATCAGCTGAGGACTGGAGTCGGGGGACGGCGCTGGTTGATTCTGTATCAGGAGAACCGTTGCAGCCCATTGTGATCCTCCAACCCTCCACACCGAGTCCGTCAAACTCAGATGAGGCTAAGATTCAGAGAAGCCCTGGTAAGAAGATGCTGAACGCCATAACAGAGAAACCAGCAGCTCTGACTGCCTACGACATGATCAGGAACCGCACAACGAGGTCGCCGCTGTCACCTGTTGCCCTGTTTGAGAAGGACACTAGAGCTGAGGTCCTGAGGGAGAAGCCCGCCGCCAGCCTGCAAGACATCAGCATCGCAGTTCAGGAGAAGTGGAACATTCTGGGGGAGGGCGACAGGAAGAAGTGAGTTTCCAGACCGTTACCTTTCTCTGAGTAGCTGTTTCCATCACCGGTTGTTTACAGAAGAAGCAGAAGAGGAAAGTCTGACCTGTAACTTGAATGAAAAAAAACTTTTCTGGTTATTTAATTGACCTTAGCTTCCAGTCAGCTGTTAGTATAAAAAAATCACCCAATCAGAGAGGCCTGATCTTGTTGATAGCAGCCTCCAGCCCACTTCAACTGGCTCTAAAAAGCAGCTGTGGGTCAGTAGGCAGGGTGCTTGAAATCCTTGAAAATGCTTGAAACTAACTGAACTCAAGACTGATTCTAATGCTGATTTTATTAAAGAATTATAAATGCACGCCAAACAGCTGAGAAAAACCCATCCATCCATTTTCATCCGCTTATCAGGAGTCGGTTTGTGGGTGCAGCAGCCTAAGGCGAGAGGCCCAGACTTCCCTCTCCCCAGCCACTTGGGCCAGCTCCTCCGGGGGAATCCCAAGGTGTTCCCTGGCCAGGTGAGAGACATAGCCCTCCAGCGTGTCCTGGGTCTACCTTTAGGCCTCCTCCTGGTTAGCCGTGCCCAGAAAACCTCACCAGGGAGGCGTCCAGGAGGCATCCTGACCAGATGCCCGAGCCACTTCAACTGGCTCCTCTTGATGTGGAGGAGCAGCGGGTCTACTCCGAGCCCCTCCCGGATGACTGAGCTTCTCACCCTATCTCTAAGTGACAGTCCAGCCACTCTTCAGAGAAAACTCATTTTGGCCGCTTGTATCCACAATCTCGTTCTTTCGGTCACTACCCAAAGCTCATGACCATAGGTGAGGGTAGGAACGTAGATCGACCGGTAAATCGAGAGCTTCATCTTCTGACTCAGCTCTCTCTTCACCACGACAGACCGGTACAACGCCCGCATCACTGCAGATGCAGCACCAATCCACCTGTCGATCTCACGCTCCAGTTTTCCCTCACTCGTGAACAAGACCCCGAGATACTTAAACTCCTCCACTTGGGGCAGGACCTCATCCCTGACCCGGAGAAGGCATTCTACCCTTTTCCCAATCAAGACCATGGTCTCAGATTTGGAGGAGCTGATTCTCATCCCAGCTGCTTCACACTCGGCTGCGAACCGCTCCAGCGAAAGCTGAAGATCACGTTCTGATGAAGCCAACAGGACCACATCATCTGCAAATAGCAGAGACCTGATCCTCAGGCCACCAAAACGGATGCCCTCCACACCTTGGGTGCACCTAGAAATCCTGTCCATAAAGGTTATTAACAGAATCGGTGACAAAGGGCAGCCTTGGCCGAGTCCAACTCTCACTGGGAACGAGCCTGACTTACTGCCGGTAATGCGGGCCAAGCTCTGACACCGGTCATACAGTTCAATTCAATTCAAGTTTATTTATATAGCGCCAAATCACGACAAGAGTCGTCTCAAGGCACTTCACATAATAAACATTCCGATTCAGGTCAGTTCATTAAGCCAATCAGAAATAATGTTTCCTATATAAGGAACCCAGCAAATTGCATCAAGTCACTGACTAGTGTCAGTGACTTTACAGCAATCCTCATACTAAGCAAGCATGCAGCGACAGTGGAGAGGAAAACTCCCTTTTAACAGGAAGAAACCTCCAGAGAATCCTGGCTCAGTATAAGCAGCCATCCTCCACGACTCACTGGGGATGGAGAAGACAGAGCAGACGCGCACGCACACACACACACACACACACACACACACAGACACACACACACACACACACACACACACACACACACACACACACACACACACACACACACACACACACACACACACACACAGGGACCTAACAGCCCGTATCAGAGGGCCTGGTACCCCATACTCCCGGAGTATCCCCCACAGGGCCCCCCGAGGGGCGCAGTCTAACGCCTTCTCCAGTAGAGAAAAGGCTCCTTACCTGTGGAGCCACTCAGCAATGACATCATTATTCTGTGCATCAAACTAATGATCACAGATTACAGCATACCAGTTTAAAATAATTGCAAGGTTGGAAAATGTGAATCAGCACAATTTGGGTCCTTGACTGAGTTATGGAAAAAGACATCTGGTTCGAGTTCTGCTCTCCTGCAGTCAGAAACATAAAGAAGCTCGTTTTTACCGCCACGTTTTAAAAAGCTAACCTCCTCATGGATGCTGCTCCTGATGCTGAACATGCGCAACGAGTACTTAATTAATGCATTAATGTAATATGGCTGGTCTCTGTTGTGCTGCAGGTATGAGGAGAAGGCAAGGAAAAGCCTGCAACATTACAACCAAAAGACCACAGCCGAAGGCCTCAGAGAGCCAGATGAGAAGGCCCCGAGGACCAAACTGCAGGGTCAGAAACGAAAGGCCCCCCTGTCAAACCAGCAGCTGATGGACCAGCTCTTTGCCCGGCCCCAGAAGAAGCCAAAGGCTCCTGCGTCCAGGCCTTCACGGCCCGTCCCCTGCAGCGTCCCTGCCCTCCGCCTTCAGCTTCAGCGCCTCTCATCCCAGAGCAGCGGAGCGCCGCGGGGCCTCCATCTTGTAAACCAGCTGGCCTCCCAGAGCACCTGGGTCATTTTATGTGGTCAGAGGCTCATGTTGTTAAACCCATTTCGAGTGGAGGAAACCTTGCTGTTTAAAAGACTTCTAGAGAATAATATCCTTCCATCCGTGAGTCTGCAGAACCCCGTCCAGCTAACAGATGGGTAATGTATCACTCAGGCCTCAGCAGCAACGTTTCTGTTAAATATCTGGTCTCCTTTATTCCTGAATGCACGAGACTAAAGGAAAATATTGTGGCTGTAGCGTAACACTCTTTCTATCTGCTAGGAGTCTGGGAGGAGCTGAATATGTCCAGACTTTGTGCAACATGGAGAAACAAAATCCTGATCTAACTGGAGGCGTCTTGTTTTCTGATCCTCGGCTTGTTGCCAATGGCTTCAAGATCAAACTCACTGCAGGTACAAATGAAGTTCTGGAGCATTATCAGGATTCTGGTTCGGGCGGGTAAACGTCGGTACGTCACATAGCCTTTATCCAGTTTTTCTAGGTTCTTTGTCTTCGATCGTTGCCTCTCCGGGCTTCCTGATGGTCTTTTTCACACCGTCAGAGTCGAGGAAAGTTCACGCAGTTTCCAGAAAAAAGGTTTAAATACAAATGCAATAGAAACAGAAAGTAAAACGGACCTCACTTCCAAAGTCCAGCACTTTTTATTTTATATTTGTTATTATAACTGAGGGTTCTGGCTGTGTTTGTACTCACTGAAATATAAAAAAACGAGGTGTTATTGAATATGTGCAGGCACAAGAACGTCTGTATTTTAACTACCATCTCCGTCGTCGTTGTGACATTTCTGTTTTGCACCAGTTGTGTGTGAATGCTGCTTGTTTTTGTTGCTAGAACAGCTCACCTCGCTTGACATTGGCGTTTTGCCCGGTAGTGTGGTCTCACGGTAGATTTGTACCCCAGCGTGCCGGTGATGAGAACAGTTGGCCTTTAAGAAATTCTTGGAATTCTTTTATTCGGTGCTGCCAACCTCTGCGGGTGTGCATGAGGCCGCGGTGGATGTGAGATGGTCTCAGTCCACCGTGCCTGCTCAGCATCGGGCTTCGGGTGTGTTTTTTAAAGAAGCGGTTTACAGCAGACTTTAAAGACGTAATCAGTTTGAAATGTAATTTTAAAGGAGCAACAGGCAGTTTTACCTGGTAAAAGTTAAATAAAACCTGTCATCTTCGTGGCGTGGCTTTTGACTTCCTGCTAATAGTAATTTCAGTATTCATTTGTTGTGTTTTTTTCAGAGCATTTGAAATATTTTTCTGGTAAAAAAAATCCCAGAAACAAGTCATTTTGTGGTTTTTCCTGCTCAGCTTCAATTATTATAAAAAAAATGAATATTTCACCTGAAAGTGTCTGCTGCAGTCTCACGTACAGACTTAGGTGCTGAAGTCATTAGATCATGTATAAACTCTCCTCAGAACTTATGTATGTACTAATAAAACTAGGTTAAAATCTCTAATGGTTTATTAAGTTTCCATTGGTTACTCGGTGATCGACCACCATATTGTAACCATCTCTGCATCTTCAGGGCATTTTATCAGGATTAAAATTGTGCATGATTTGCCGGATTTCCTCATAAAATGTGAAGCCATCATTCTTCCATTCTACTAGACAGCTTCCTTCCAGTCTGCTGGGGCTTCTATTAGTCATTTAGCACTCCATTTGGCCCTCGGATTGTTTCACTTGGTCACCAGTTCGGCCGTAAACTGCAGTATTTATTTATTATTCTTTCCTGGAGACAGTAGTAGCGTCTGGAGTGTATTAATCCTTGCTTTCTGCTTGTTTTGGCCCGGACTCGCGTCAGCAGAGAGACATCTGGAAGTGACGGAGATGGCAGACTGTGTGCCTTTTCTCGGTGTGGAGGACCTCAGGGAGATCCTGACTGCTGTTCATCACAGAAAGGCCTCGACTGTGCGAGAGTGTCGGCCGCTCAAAGTCACAAACTACCTACAAGTACAACATGCTGTAAATTACCACTGGTCTCTTTAGCCCCGCTATCTGTTATTAATGAAAGTTCTGGGACTTTCCCTCACAGGCAGAGGCCGTTCGACTGGCCCGACAGCTGCCGATTACTTTACCTCGAGAAGATGTGGAGCAAATCATTCGAAGGATGGAACAGCAGCTCGGTGAAAGCAGTCACATCTGTATCCATGGACGACCATTTTTCCAACATCTAGCTGATGTCCCATCAACAGACGGAGAAGCACAGGCTCAGTTCAGACCTTTAGGGTTGTGACACAAAAACCTGGTGTCCTGCACATGAGTTCTTATCAATAAAATAAGCTTTTTTGTTTAAAGAAGTCAAATTAAGTAAATAAGTGTTTTGAATTTCAAAATGTGCATTCAACCCCTCAAAAAGCTATTTTTACCATTAAAATTATTTTGCACAGCTAGTTCTTTTGTCTTCTTTACAGTTACAAGCCTAAACTTTTATTTTGCACACATTTTGTTGTCATGATGTCACTGCTGAGGTCTTTCATCCTAGTGATGGCTCACCTGAATACTCCAGAGCAGCAAATTGCTAACAAACCACCAGTGGTTACCATGGTAACCCCACAAGCACCCCAGGTGTGCTGGTGACCATAACGTACAAAATATGGCTACCACAGTGGCCCTATGAGCCATTGGTGGTTACCAAGGTGACCATAATTAATGGTGGTCATCAATTTGATCCTAATCAGCTACTGGCTGCAGTTTTAACATTTTTTTTTAATATTAGTTCCATTTACATTTCTGTAACAGTATGTTTAATAGATCTGTTTTGTCTTAGCTCAGATTATTACCTAATTAAATCTAGGATTACTGTTGGGATTTACAGTAGTTTATAAATTCAATTCAGTTTATTTATAAAGCGCCAAATCACGACAAGAGTCGTCTCAAGGCACTTCACATAATAAACATTCCAATTCAGGTCGGTTCATTAAGCCAATCAGAAATAATGTTTCCCATATAAGGAACCCAGCAAATTGCATCGAGTCACTGACTAGTGTCAGTGACTTTACAGCAATCCTCATACTAAGCAAGCATGCAGCGACAGTGGAGAGGAAAACTCCCTTTTAACAGGAAGAAACCTCCAGAGAATCCTGGCTCAGTATAAACAGCCATCCTCCACGACTCACTGGGGATGGAGAAGACAGAGCAGACACACACGCGCGCACACACACACGACAAAGTAATGTGTCTATTGTGATTTCTTAGTAAATATTCTATTTGGTGAGAGATAAACTTTATTGTATTTATCCTAGTGGATCTATAATTAAATGGATAAACTAGTAGTAGCACATCCAACGTCAAGGAAAGCAAAAAGTTATTATCAGGAGAGGGAGAATGTTTAAGTGGTTAGCAGCAGTGTGCTAGTCGATGGCCCCCTCCATGAGGCCACCACAGCTCAGCAAAACATCATTGTAGCTTCTTCTGGGGAGAAAAACACAGAGAGAAAATAAAGTTAACAGCTGAAATAGCAGGAAATAATACAGTTAAAGAGCAGATAGTAGAAGAAAGTAGTAGAGTGTGAAAAGTGGTCAGTGTATCCTCCAGCAGTCTAAGCCTATAGCAGCATAACTACAGAGATAATTCTGGCTAATCTATCCTATTTAGATGGAGGCATGTTGGAGGCAGGGCAAGGGAGAGCCATCTTTACCGACTGTACACTCCACCTCCCTCTACTCCCCCACTTGTCCAGATCTAGGCTAACATCAGATTTTAACCATACACTGTTAGACTTTACCTATCCACTTTACGGTAATAAACTGGCAACACTGTTGCCAGCATGATACCGTGATGCATGGTTAACGGTAACTTACCAATTAGTGTTGATCCCAGAATTATACCGTATATTTTATTGCTGTAAAAAACCCTCTGACTGCATGGCGGTGAGATACTGGCAACAGCGTTGCCAGTATCTCACCGGCAACAGTGTTGCCAGTAAAATACCGTAATATATTTCACAAGAAAATTACATCAATAACGCAATATTATACCGTGATTAATAAATATGTGTTGTGCTGTATGTTTATGGTATGTTACCGTAAGCTCATTTCAAGGTATGCTGCAATACCTTTTCCAGTGATTTACCGTAAACATACACTTTTGCTACTGAAAATAGTCAACGCTGTCAGAGGTTACTGTGTTTTTGTGGGCAGTAATTTACCTTTTTCATGTCATATTTTACTAAGATACGAGTAAACGGTAACATACTGTAATACAATAAAGGCTCCCAAAATAAAAGGTTTATACTTGTGCGTGCACACACACACACACACACACACACACACACACACACACACACACACACACACACACACACACACACACACTTGTTTGTGTAATAGTTGGATATATTTAAGATCAAGATGTAAACAAAATGCACTGGATTATCTTTTTTTATTTGATTGCTTCCATTAAAACAGAAAAACATAATGGTATAGTGAGAAGAAATTGGCAACTGATGGTCATAATGTAAAAAAGAAATGAATCAGTGACCTGTGTGACCTACAGCTGATAAATAGTCAGATGTATACAAAATGTCTACAAACCTTTCTTAAATGCAAGTAGTAGTTTACGTATTTGAATTGGTGTAAGAAAATGTTTGCGATCATCTGCCCCACTAACAGAAGGTCACTTTTTTGTTGGACACCAATGACATCTTTCAGGTGGTCTGCGATGGACAGTACTTTCTGTCTCTCCAATTCCGGCAGGATGCATGTGATTTCATCTTCAATTTCCATCACTGAAATATAAGGGGAAAAAATCATGAAGAAACTGAATGGTGCAGGGAGACAACAAAAAGATCTGCCATGTTATAAAGGGGTATTGGGTAATAATCCATCAGACTGTCAGCATTTACACACAAACTTCTGTCTGTAGGGCAGTGTTGGCAATAAAGTCCAAGGTCAATAAGGCGTACTGACTGATGCAATTCTAGCACAAAGTACAATTTAGAATCATTAACAAGTATCACAACTATCTACCCAAAGTCAGTGCTCTCACTAGTGTGATCTACTACAACAACATGACCTTTGACATATTTGGTACCTTTGTAGACAACTGCTGACACATCTAGCATGTTATGATTAGAGACATTTGCTTTTGTCACAGCATCCTGAGTGGCAGAGTTGTAAAGATGATGTCTATAATCATTCACTTCTCCAATGATTTGAATTGTAGGTGGAAATATTTGCCCTGGCATAATACTTTTTTCCATCTTTAATATGGATCCTCAGATGGACACAAAGAGTTTTAATATTTTGTCCAACATCCAGGAACTTGTCAGCTAAGATTTCCAGTGAACTTCCAGCTCTCCTCCTCAGTGTTCTCCCCTCGTCTATGATTTCTGTGCATATGGGAACGAAAGGCAGTGAATGTTTTAAAAGTGGCTTTACAATTCTCAATTCCACAAGAAAACATATAATTTGCATTGTGTTTATGGCTTCTAACATGTGAACTGAACAATATAAATTTGTGTGCACGGAATCTATAATATTTACAGAGAAACATTTTAAGTACCCTATATCTTCAATAGTTTCTTTTCCAGGGATATTTTAAGCAATACAACAAAAATGCATAGAAAACTAAACAGTACCTTAACAGTAGGCTAAATAGTCATAAAAGGCTCAAATATGCCTAAAATGTAACATCCCATCAAAAAACGAAAAGTAGTATAGCTTTCACACTGGCCACCAAAAGGAAAATTATTTGACCTCAATATCGGAGTTAAACCTCTCCAACCTGTTCTGCATATCACAGCATGCACTGCCAGCAGCCTTCACCTGCAAACACTTACTGCCAAATTAGCATTTGTTTTTTTTTGCTCCTAACTTTATTGAAAACAAATGTCATACACAAGAGAAGTCAAGGAAACAAACTGACTTTGATAGCAGTCTCCATTACAGAAAATGTGAAGCAAATCATTTTACCTTTGAAAAGAAAAAAAAAGAAAAAGAAAAAATGATCAAGAGCAAAACAATAAGTAGCAGAAACATTTTGGCACAAGCAGTTTTCTTATTCATATCTGAGATGTGCTTGAGTGACTAAAAATACAATGAAAAGTTATTCAAGAAAAGGATAAACAGAGAACTGTTTTTCCAATTACATGAATAAATAAATTATTTACATAGAATATTTACAAAAAGAAAACATCAGATATTTTAAGTAAAATCTAGCTTTGGCTATCAGTCCAAAATACAATCACATGCTGACAATTGAAAAATAGATTATGCATTGTTTGTAGATCCTAACAAATTTGGTTTTAAGCATCACATTACTTTGCATGGGTAGCAGCTGAAAATTAATCACCTTGTTTGTCAGTTTTTAAAGCATTCGGGTAACTTCAATAAGGTGTTTACACATTTATGGACAGGGACCATTTTGCAGAATTTGCATGAAGATCACAGCTATAGCTAGTTTAAAAGCCAAAACATGCAGTAAAATACTTACCAGACTGACCAACTCCCCTGTAATGGGTCACATTCGGGATACGTGTTTGGAAAATGTTTTTATTTCTTCTTTTCCTCAAAGTGCAAGACAACGATCATATATTGTGTTTCCAATGTTGTTGTTTTGAAAGCAAATATCCAGGTTGTAACAGGTGAAAGTGATGAATTCTTTTTCACTTAGCTAATTCTGGGAAACCCAACAACATAAAACATACCTAGGGGTGGAAAATACCTTTGATGAGTTCTTCCTTGGCCCATTTCCTTAAGATTCCATCTATAGCTGTCTGAATTTTTTGTTACATCTATAGTGAACACAATAGATAGACAACAGCATAATTTTGGTGGCTGTAATTATCCTATAATATTGCTGTGAAAACATGCAAAAAAAAAAACAAACAACTGGTGGAATTTTGAAATGATCAATATTTTATGGAATATTTTACATAAAATTTCTTACAATTATAAAGTCGTAAACTGGTATCATGTCAGTTTTTTGATAAAATTCTGTAAACATTTATCAGTTTAAATCGCCCACCAGGCAGATGTCAATTACTGTCATTTAGGCAGTAGGACTAATAGATTAGCTTAAATATGATTTTATCAATCTGAGATGATTTTTTAATTTACAATGTAGGCTTGGTTAAAGCATCCAATCTTTTGTTTTATATTATAATTAAAATATTTTTAAAGAGATTTTAGTGAGCGTTTACATACTGTATGCTTTTATAATAGCTCAATTAAAACATTTATTCTTGGAGCATTTTCTCTTTACTATGGGGCATAGTGTTTTTTCAAAGAATTGTTTTGGTAATGCACTCTGAATGAAGATTTGAGCAAGGTATTTTAAAATGTCCACTGAAAAACCACAGACAGAAAAATGTGAGAGGTATACCAAATTTTTATATTTGCTGTACTTTACCTGTTTCCTTTAAAACAGTGACATACCATGAAAAATATGT